GAATTCTTAAAGAGTATTCAGTGATAAAGCAGTCGACCAACGCCCTCTGGCTTTTAGTAGTTGTCTAGCTATGGCAAGTCAGTGAATGAAACTATGAATTCAGCGATCGTAGTGAACATCCTATTTTGTAATATCTATGAAAAAAAGTCCTGAAACGTAAGGCAACTGTTGTTTTACACTTTATACATCAGTTATCAACTAAACAACGTTAATAATATTTGAATCATCTGTAAATTTATTGACTACACTTTAAATTATCTTTTTATTTGAATTAAGGGAACATGGAGTTTTGTTATTTATGGTTTAGAAGACAGAGAATTATTTAAAGCTTGTCTACGAAATACGCAAAACCAACAAAAAAGTGACAATATTTCAGAAACTACTAAACTATCAACAGATCCTGTCATAAAGAATATAGAAAAAGATGAATTATACATAACTAATCAATCTACTCATCAAGATAACAGTACGGCTGTAAGTCAACAAGATCAAGATAATAGAAATGATACACGAATTCTTCAAAGAAATAAAGGCAATAAGAAGGATATTTAATAAATGTCAGTTCTAATTCACCCTATATATATATATATATATATATATATATATATATATATATCATCAATTAAGTGAATACGAAAAAAATAATGAAATACTGTAAAGTATCACCTCTTTCTTGAATTAACTAATTGTATCACTATTTGATGTTGTTAAAAACTTTATTTCCGTAAATACTGATTTATTCAAAATGGAATTGTTTTTATTACTTATTTTCAGAACAAAACAAAACCCTGTTTAATAAATTGTAACTCATGATTAAATTCAGTTTTATTCTCTTAGTTACTTTAATGAATTAAACCATTGAAGTTTTACCACTAACCTGAACTACTTATATAGTTATAAAAATAAATAATATATTTGTAATATCCCAATGAGTAGAAAAATTAGATTTTCTACTCATCGGGATATTACAAATATATTATTTATTTTTATAACAATCTACCCAGTGCTCAATTTATTCGAAATTATCAAATCAAATCTTGGTAATGATACCTACTTATATAGTTGTCTAGACATTATATATAGTACGGTTACAGATTGTGTACCAACATATTAGAAATTACTAACAAAAAAAGTAAGTTTGAAAGTAGTTTGTTACTAAGATGAACTACATATGAAGCTAATGTTTTATTGTATTATGAAGTGAAAACCGTTTGTCCGTATTTCGGTAGAGTGATAAATAATAAACATTAATCATTATGAGAATTTAACCAGTATCTGTAGCGAAAAATAAAGATAGTGATGATATTAATTTATTTTGGTATAATCTCACTGTTTCATTGTAACACTTATCTAGAAGTTAGCTTCTCGATCACACAAACTAAACATAATTTTGAAGATTAAACGATTAGGATTATGTAAATTATTATTCTTTCCAATAATTTACACTGGTGTACTGTTGAAATAAGTCGTGACAGAAAACTAGCAGTCGAATAAAATTTGAAATCATTGTAGCAGAATTATTCAAAATCACTAGTCACATTTAAGTTTCATAAATTTTAAATTCAATAAGATGAAGTATAAAGTGAAAAACAGTAGAAAACATTTCACAACTTTATATAATACTTCCTGTAATTGACGAACTACACCAAATAGAAGGGATTATTTATTGCATATAGTTTCCAAAAGAACTTCAAATAACGTTTATTGTAGTTTACAAGTATTAAATAGATAATGTCATCAATGATATTATTTGTGCATCCTTCGTTTTTCATTAAAATAAATATTTGATTAGATTAATAACATGAAATATTTCGGTAAATTGAATGAAACAATTAACAAACAAGAGACTTGTATAAATGGTGACATATATTCACTAAATCACTGATCAAATGAAACTTAAGCGATATGAATTAACGAGTTGTTTTTAATAGGCTCTTTAATTTATCTAAAGGATTACACAGTCTAGTAAGATATTTCTAATATTTTGTTAGCCTATTGACCACAAATATTACAGATGATTAATATGTTGCTTTTTATATGATTGTCAGCGTGTCCAATTAAAGTTTGATACACTAACTAAATAATAATTAAAAAAGAAATCTTTGGAGTAATTATGAAAACACTATGCATTGGATTTTTAGTATAAAAGTGAAGTCGTATTAATTCATACTGTCATTAAGCCTATGAAGATTAAAAAACGACTGTATAAATTTACTTTTACAGCAAACAATGCAAAAATGAATTTTATCATAAACACTATACTTAGGAAATAGCTCGAATGTATGTTGTTACCTAAATGGTATTCTGATATTTGTGAGTAACATAACTCGTTTGAAGAGTAATTAGTTAAATATATTATAGTAAAGCCAAGAAATTGTTAAAACCCTAAATAAATTAATTTTATGAGGGACTAATATCCGAATGTATTTCAAACTGTAGCAGTCTTTTAGGACTACTAACATTAATGAGCTCAACGCTAAAATCCAGTTCGAAAGCCTCATTCGTCAGACAAATGACCTTATCCCAGTATCCAATAAAGATTTTGAGCATTTTAAAACAACTCTTGTGGATTGTTGTAATCAATATGTAAATAAAACACCTACATTTAATCGATTACTCACAAAAGAACATAAATCTCAATTATCTGACCTTCGGAGAAATCAGAACTTAGTGTTATGTCGCCCAGACAAGGGTGCAAGAATTGTCCTTATGGATCGCCTTGATTATATCTCCAAAATATCTTCGATATTATCTGATCCGGTCAAATTCTCCATAGAGACCGTTCAAAAAGACGCAACTGAAAAAACTGAACAGATGCTAATTAAAATCTTAAAGAAAATGAAAGATGAATCTATTATCAATTGTGACCTCTATGAACACATCAAACCATCGGGTTCCGTTATACCAAGACTATATGGGCTCCCAAAAGTTCATAAGAATACTGTCCCACTACGTCCGATACTTGATATGAACAACTCTCCTTATCACTTGATCGCTAAATGGTTAGTTGACATTTTGCAACCTGTTAAAAATCATATCAATAAATACAATTGTTTTGATTCCTTTGAATTGGTCGACTGAATTAGAAATATCAACGTAACCGGTGAAAAAATGTTCTCATTAGATGTCACTTCTCTGTTTACAAATGTTTCTCTCACAGAAACAATTTGTTTTTATTTGACTATATTGAAAACAATAATCTTGATATGTGTATCCCAAAACATTATCTTAAAGAACTACTTCTACGATGTACGCTCAACGTGCAATTTAGATTTAATGATGTTTTCTATAGACAATTAGATGGAGTTGCAATGGGCTCTCCATTGGGTCCTCTCTTGGCTGATTGCTTCATGGCTAATCTAGAAAATTCGGTACTTCGACCAATAATTGAGAGATTTCATTTATATAAGAGATATATGGATGATACTTTCATTATTTGTGAAGACATGGACCTAACTGAAATCTTGAAAAGTTTCAATAATTGTCACCCCTCAATTGAATTCATTTTAGAAGCAGAAGCAAACCATGAATTTCACTTTCTTGATGTCCGATTAAAAAGAATGCCCGATGGTTTTTTATAGCGATCTATATATAGAAAACCTACTTGGAATGGGCAGTACACTAATCTCCACAGCTGGGTCCCATTGAGTAGAAAGAGGAACTTAATTCATTCTTTATCCTCTAGGATCAAGCGAATCTGTTCCACTGACACAATAGATGAGGAACTAATTCAACTTCGACAAACTCTCATAAGAAATGGTTATCCACCTAGATTCGTCGATAGTAACTTAACACCTAGAATTCATCATGAGAAAGTATCAACAGTACAGAAGAAAACCTTGTTTATGAATATGGAATTTAAAGGAGACACGGCTGCTGAAATCTTAAATAAACGGATTTCAAAATCATTGAATAAAACTTTCTACACAGCCAAGCTCCGAATTGTTTTCTCAAGCCGGCCTACCATTCCTGGATGTGTTAATGATAAACTTTCGCTTTAGGCCACGTCAATGTGTATTTATAAATTTATGTGCTCATGTGGGGCTCGTTATATAGGCCGAACAAAGCGATCACTGTCCAAACGCATCTCAGAACACGATCTAGCTTGGCTTTTAAAAGGAGAATGTAAGACAATCACTAGTTCTATAGAGGAGCATTTAATCAATTTCGGACACACCGCTCCTAATTATTCTTCTTTTAAAGTGATCTACAGAGTCAAAGGAATTGGATAGAAGGTCGAATCAATATTTTATGCATTGATGAGGCACTGGCAATTCACGAACTCAAGCCCGAACTTTGCGTGCAGAAACGATTTGTCCAACCTCTCATCCTTCCTTGGCCCTAATTCCCTTAATAGGTATGTTTCATTCTTTTTTTGTTTTTTTCCGCACTTTTATTTTTGATTATTATCGAATTTCTTAAAATTACTATTTTGCATTTTAAACCCTAATCAACTATTATTATTATTATTCAAGTTTTCATGATTATTATTCAGTTTATTATTATGACCTTTGTGTTTGTCGCCTTTCGTCATGCGCACTGATGAGGAGTCCCGTACTAGGACGAAACGGCCGTCCAGTGCTTCCAGGTTTTCCATGGTGGTCTAGCTTCAATGGATTCATGATTTCAACCAGTGAAATTTCTTCATATTTGTCAATTGGACTATTATCTGACCTATAAACGATTTTCTTCCTTACCCCTTGATTAGTATGTAACCCCATTTGTTATTTTCCTCGAATCCATTTTGGTGATGCAAAAAGTTTTTCTATCCTCCAATAAACATAAATTTTCCATATAACTATATATACGAATGTACAGCTTAAGTAAATGATTTCGTCGAAAAGAAATTTTTCTTCGCTGAATTCTCTTTTTCTTATTCAATGACACTAAGGGTTATTTTAAAATATGACTGAGTAATATATATTAAACATTCTTGGTTAGTAATCATTATTCACATTGAAGTATTTACATCACAATAAAAGAAAAACAAGGAATTGTTTCAAAACAAGAAAATTAATAATGCAGAATATTAGATAACATTACTATAATTAAATAAAATTATATTTTCATCATATTCTCATATTTATTCACACTTGTATAAAACAATTCCGTGAAGATTATGTTTGCATTAGAAGCTTCATTTCATAAACGTTTTAAGTTGGTGATGTATGGTTCTGAGTCTTACTCGTTATTCTTGGTACAGGAACTTGAAATAATTGACAAAGTTGATTACGAATTGGTCTGACTATTTCAATATCACCTTCCCTGATGAATTCGGAAAGCAGAATAAAATTTTTCTTAGTAAAAAAACACGACTGTTAAATTAAAGTTATCAATAAAATTAGTGACAAAGACAAACTATTATAGTTATAAGGAAAAAATAGAATATATGTGTATATGAACATGGTACAAACTAAAGGAACCATAGGCTCAAACAGGAAACATAACGATAAGTAACTAAATATTTAGGAATTACACAGAACAATAAGTGGATGGATCTGTACAAATGTAGTTGATATCAATACAGAAATCTTCTAACCATAAATTTGTGACATCTCGCTGATAGCACTTGGAAAATATGAGCTTCGTTAAACAACTGAATATAGATATGTGATTATATGAATAACTGACATGTTTTAACACAATATTCTCTAAATTGACCCAACTTTGTCAAAGGCGGCGAATCGTCCAACACACATCACTCATGCACCTGAGCTAGTGAAGGTTAACACAACTATCTGAAAATTAATCGTCATTGTCTAAAACCATGCATATTAGGTTGAACATGACATGTTTTTCCCAAGTAGCAGTATACACATTGGTTTTAAACAAGACAAATATACAAATATCAACATGAATCCAATTATATCATTTCCACAAGAAAATAATTAATTAAAAAAATGTGTGTACAAGGATAAAACTCACCAGATGGTTTCGGTAAGTATAGATGATACTTGATCTAATAACTCAGATGGGCATAAATCATAAACCAGTAAACCTTCATATAATTCTGATGCGGTTGCTTTACGAATCTGAATTATTCAACGAAGGGAAGTAAATTATTATACAAAATACTGAACAGATAGTGTATGTATCCGAAAAGAGATTATTAACAAAAAGATGAAATCAAATTTTAAAAATCACAGTGTAATTTGTCTTTATTTCACATTTCTGTTACCAGTTTTAACGTTGTATTTTTAAGAAAGGCCAGAACAGGAAAAAAATAAGACAATTCAGGCAAGAATATTATCTTTTTAACGATATCATCTACTTAGGCTGTACAATAGTATTTAGAATTAGTTTTAGCAAATAGCAATTTACAAAATAGTGTGTGATATCAGTACCATGGTAGAACGAACGATCGAATACGTAGTTTTTGTAGTCATTAGGCTTGAATTGCTAGAGCTCCTACTATATGCACATTTTTAGTTTGTTTTCATTTACAGTCAGTTCTTTTGACTACATAAATGATTTTGAAAATTTATTTATTTGAAAACATAAATATTGATTGGTACAAGGGGGCACCAAATATATATGCGGCACACAAAACAATGAGAACTTAAAGTGAAGGGAAAAAAGTAGGGAACGTACTGAATTATAAAAAAAAATGAGGGAAACAAAAAGGTACAGTCAGAAGAAATCTTTCAGTTAAGGAAGAAGCAACCACTTTTTACGAAGAAAGTAAAAGAAGGTTACAGCAGGATCGCCGCTGGCTTCTATTCTGAGCCATATCTGATAACGTTTCTAGCCACTGTGTTACACCATCTCTTGTAGGAGTACTTCGCACTTCGAAGATGCGAAGCACATACCATACCTACGGACATTGATTGTCAACTGATTAAGTGCGGATTGCATAGCTTGGGCATTCTCGCAAAGTAAGACAATATCATCAGCATACTCAGAGTCGAGAAGTCTTTCTCCAGGCAACAGATTCACACCACCATTACTTACATCCATCAGAGCTGTTGCCAGAATCTCATTGATGGCAAAGTTGAAGAGGAATGTTGAGATTGGGCAACCCTGCCTAACCCCACTGCTCGAATGGAATAATGGAGAAAGGTGGTTGTATGCCCTCACTCTGACTGAGGTGTTTGTGTATAGGGCCTTTAGGATGTTAATAAACTTCTCAGGCACACCCTTCTTCAATAGACAATCCCAGAGAACAGTCCTGTCCAACGAATCGAAGGCAGCCCTGATATTAAGAAACACTACGATTGTTGGGCTTTGATAAGTATGGCAGTGTTCCAACATTTAGCGGATAGTAGAGATATGATCAATACATCCTCAACCAGAAAAAATCCCAGCCTGCTCCTTGCGAGTCAATCTTTCTAGGGTTTCGAACAACCTACGAAGTAAAACGGAAGCCAATAGCTTGGACGCAATCAGAAGTAGACTTATCCCCCGATAGTTGTTACAGAAACGACGTGAACCCTTTTTAAAGATAGGGACAACTACAGGCTCATTCCATGACGTTGGTATACTCTCTAGTTCCCAGACCTTTGTAAACAACACAGTCAGTTCCTTAGCCAGGAAGTCACCACCATCTTTAAAAAGAGTCGAAGGTAAGTCATCTGGGCCCGGTGATTTGTAGCGCTTTAAGAGTTGGAGTTCCTTGAGGACTTCCGCCTCATTTGGTGGATCAGTCGTCACCGGCCATAGAGGGTAGGACAGTTTGACCGATGTTGCCGGAGCAATAGGCCAGTTGAACTGCCCTTCGAAAAATTCTGCCCAACGTCTAAGACGTCGATGGATGTTGGTGATTGGCATCCCGTCATCCTCGCAGATTGTTTCGCTCACATCAGGCTTCTTGCTGCCAGTAGCTAGGATGAGTTGGAAGAGCTTCCGGTAATTACCAAATGCAGCTGCTGCTTCCAGCTCGTTAGCACGCTCCGATTTTGAAAAAAGGTTCTGGAAAATGAACTTGATCAAAATTTACAAAACGTTCCTTGATTAGAATGTTGATTGACATGTGTAAACATACGGTGAGTCAGGCAAAACGTACATTTTTAAATAGCTTTCACTTTACAACCTACATAATCAGTTTCATAAGACAACTTAAGTTACAGGTGCATATTAATGTGGCCCAGTGTAAGAGCTTGTTTCTTATGCAACTCTGAATCAAAAGTTAACTAGAGAAAGCAATGCGAAGTTCAATCAAATAAATTACGTTTCTCAAAGCTCTTGAAAGTTTATTTTTAAGAATATCTGCCGAATTTGTTCCTTTGGAATGAATATTGATGTAGAGGAACTTCTTTGGTGCTATTGAAAATCTTTCATGTTGTTGTCTTGGCTTCAGATCTTGATTGATGAACCTAGGTGGTTAACATTTTTTTTTGTGTAAAGTATTTCCCAGAATTTTTCAATTTTGATGTCAATTGCGTCATTCGTACAGTCAGTCAGTCAGCTGCAACGTAGGACTAGGCACATATATGCATCGGTCCAAGTTGCCATACCTCATTAGCACAAGATGAACACCAGATTCATAGAAGTAGTTAAGTCAAGGGTGGTAATATGTAAAAGAAAGATTGTATATAAGGACATAGTACAGGAAGAAAGAATTAGTTCGTAGAAAGAAAGATGTGAAGCGATTTTAATCTCTTAGTTTAATGGAAGACAAAGAGTGTATACACCGACGCCATTGTGTACAAGTTCATGTAACATTCTCTTATTGAAAGTAAACTTAGTTTATCCTTCGACTTAATGAGATCAAATATGTTTAGTCTCTTATACTACCATGGTGATGATGTAACATGTCACATTATAAACTACTATTTGTAAACATTGACTATACAGCTTCGGCTAACAATATCGTAAAAGAGAAAAGTTTCTTCGCCAAACTGTCATTTTTCATTATAGTTAGTTGAAAAGAAAATCGTTTCGAAAAGCTTTATATAGGCAAAGAATAAAAAACATATCATAGTACTTTCCATTTAATTATCTCAATAAATACACACAATACGATTAATCGATAAAATAATTAGTTAATTTTAAAAGTAGTAACCACTTAAATAATGACATGTGAATTCAAAAATAAATTTACAGATACACTAATATTAATAAAACAGTAATTCACGTCAAACCTACAATTGGGTAACGAGATCCCAACATGACCATCATTAACGATAGAGATCGCTTTCGAACAGGCCCAGTGAATTGTAACATCCCACCAAATCTGCATATATATATATATATATATATATATAAGTAAAAATAAATAAGCAAACGTCCTGATAGGTAAAATCAATATTACATTGTATGAGAAATTCAAGAACAGTGTTTTTATTCTGTGAACCATGACATATAAAGTCGTACTTACAGCAGCAAATGCAGGAGAAGACGAATAGTGTAGCAGAGGCCTCAGCAGCAGTAGGTCTCAATATACACAAACGGAAAAGCAAGATTATCCAACACAATAGAGCATACACCGATCGAATCACACTTGATGGAGAAGATTTGGAAGATGTACAAACCTTTACATATCTGGGCAACACCATCGATGAACACAGTGGATCTGAAACAGATGTGAAGGTGTGGATCGGCAAAACAAGATCAGAATTTACAGATAAAGAACATGTGGAACTCAAAACAACTGTCAACCAACACCAAAGTCAGAATTTTCAATGCAAATGTCAACACAGTTCTACTGTGTGAGGCGGAAACATGCAGAACTACGAAAGCCATCATCCAGAAGATACAAGTGTTTATTAATATCTGTCTACGCAAAATACTTCGGATCCGTTGATCAAACACTATCAGCAACAACCTACTGTGGGAGAGAACAAACCAGATTCCAGCGGAGGGAGAAATCAGCAAGAGGTGCTGGAAGTGGATAGGACACACATTAAGGAAAGCATCCAACTTCGTCACAAGGCAAGCCCTTACTTGCAATACTCAAGGCCAAAGAACACATTACGTTGAGAAATGGAGACAGACATGAGAAGAATGAACAACGATTGGATAGAGCTAGAAAGGAAGGCGGAGGACAGAGTGGGTTGGAGAATGCTGGTCAGTGGCCTATGCCCCATTGGGGGTAACAAGCGTAGGTAAGTAAGTGATCTTAAATAAGATGAATTAGAGATCTAGAATTAATATACGAAACAATTACTAATTTTGCCAAATGCAATATTTAACATCTTTGTGTTAAACATACTATTTTTAATTCAGTTTTATAATAATCATAATATTTTGTGATGAATTGTGTATTATAAGAATTAATTTATCAGACGAATGGTACTTTTTTCTACCTCAGCTGGTGATAAATGGTAGAATAGTTGCTGTGAAAAATAATTATCAAGGTGTTCAATATTTGGGTAGTAATACAACACCAACATCAATTTGGATCGGTTGTAATAGAGGATTATATGGAGAGAAAATCAGAGCTAGAAAGGAAGGCGGAGGACAGAGTGGGTTGGAGAATGCTGGTCAGTGGCCTATGTCCCATTGGGGGTAACAGGCGTAAGTAAGTAATGACATATAAAACTCCCGAATACTAAAATATAAAGTACATGATGTTAGAACACTGGTGGAGTTATGCCGTTATTGTTGATTTCCGCGTAAGACCACTTGGTCTATAAATTACACATGCACACACAAACAAACAACTTTATTCTGTGTTGACTGAGAAAAACTGATTTTGCAGGCAAATATCACTATATGTATAGAATATTGACAACATTCCCTTAATTATCTTCAATAATAATAGAAATCTTATAAAGCTTACATCAGAATGTATCGCGTTTTGTTAACAAGATAAATACCAAATGCAAAAATTTATACTTCATCAGTTTAGTGCTGTTTTAAAGCACATTTTTAGCGTCCTTTTTAAGCAGTTAAACACTAATGACTTACACATCGATAGCAGCTTTATTACGTTGTACATCTTTAGTTAGTTTGGTTTCATTCCACACACTTTCCGTTAATTGTAAAAGAATTGGACTGTACAGACAGGATAAAAAAATAAACAAAGTGATATATGAATCCTATTTACAAACACGTAGTGTTGAGATGGTGCAGAAGATTTGTAGCCCAGGTGGATGATTTTGATGGAGTTTTGTGTTCGCTGAGCTGGATGGTTTGGTCGTGGAGCTTACATCGTCCTTTTGAACGACATCATTAGCACAAACGACGTGTAGAAGACTTCTACCTGAATTTTGTGCTGAAGATGTCGTTCAGAAGAACGATGAAAGTTCCACGACCAAACATTCAGCTCAGAGAACAAAACTCCATCAAAAAACATGTAGTGTTCATAATAATTTGAAAATGATACTAATATTAATAACAATAATAATGATGAAACTAACAAGAATGACACTTGAAATATCCTAATGAGCAGGATTTAGAATTCCTGACGGTTCATGGCATATTGTAAATCCCTTCTACAGAGTTAATAAAAAAACCAAATTTTATTATTAATTTACATTGAAGAAGTGGCTTACAATAAATCATGAACAGTTAGAACTTCTATTTTTTATTCATTGGGATATTAAAAATATATTATTATTCCATGATTAACATTTTTCACAATGCTTAATTTATTTGTAATTTAAAGCAATTAGTCCCTTTTATAAATTTCGATAGAACAACACCAGCTCAAGCATTTGGTGCTTATACTGACAATCCAGATGATAAACGTAAAGTTCAAAACTTATTGACTATCAATCAATTTGGGATGCAGATTAGTTCATGATTTCAAATAAATGATACGCATAATGTAATTATTACCAATAAAGCATACACAAACTAATAGTTTTATTTGTTGTAATGATGATAGAACAATGAAAACAGTTTCCAAAATGATTTCAACATTAACATTACAGTATATAGATAATATGTATATATTATAAAAGTACTATTTAACAGTATATTTAGTGAATGAACTCTACATTAAGGAAGTGGTATAGCCTTGTATATATCAAGAGTATGTTATTGCAATTTTCGAATTAAATTCATATACTTATCCCATTTCCAATTTTCGCTCAAGAAAGTATGAGCTTGAGACAATACAATAGTAGAGTTCGTCGAATCTCTCAGTAATAACGAAATATATGTTGGGTAATATTTCGAAGAATTTTATAGATTTTAAAATTTTTCTCATTATGAAGTGATGTCAAACCAACAAACACCACGAATCACTGGACGGGTGTCTTTATTTTGTTTGGACAACAGTGACCATTACCATAGAATACAAGACCAAAGGTTATAAAGGCTTTATATTTTCTGTGAAACCTCAAAGTTCTGTAATCGACACCATAAAATCTTCAGTAATCACGAACTAAGGAAAATAGTTGACCAGTAATCTATGGTTATTTGCGGCTTTTCTGAGATTACTTTATTATGAAAATAATTTTCAGTATATATATATAAAACAATGATAAACTTACCTGTTTGGATCAACTGTTGAGTTGACAATCGGATCATTCAGTAGAAAGTTCAAAAATTTAAAAAGAGGAACAACAATCCTATGAACAAAATAGTAAATAAAACCATTCAAATATTACTGAGTTGTAAGACTGCATACAATTCAAAAAAACTGAAAACATATCAGACATTAGACATCGATATACACCACATTTAAACAACACTCCAAAGAGAGACTGCTAAGACGGTTTAAAGAATAGTCAGATTTTATTAGGAAGGCTAAGATCTCTTCTGGAACAATAACCACTCACATACTTTCTACCAATTCGATTTTCTTCATGACCTACGTCCTGATTGATTGTCATGTTTTATAGTTTGCTAAATTGCTACATGCTCGAATGTCATACTCTCCTAATATATTAAAAACTTTTGTATCAATTTCGTTTGAGTTGCCTGTTCTACCACAAATATTAAGTTACCTGTAATTCCGTCTTATTCCTGTTTTAACCGTCGAGGTTTTAAAGTTGAACATAATTGACTGTTGTCAGTACCGAAGAGAACCGATCATGTAAGAGGAGCTCAGTTGTATTTGTTCTTAAATCCGTGACATCGCAGGCCGTACTGAGACCCCAATAACAAGATACAGCAGAGACTGATTATTGGAAATGCTATAATAGGTACACCATCATCATCTGTACACGGGATATATCTTAAATATAATAAACACTTTAATAATGATATACTGTTATGCGCACTCAGTCAGTGAATTCAACGTACAAGCTACCACATATGTACATCGATTTAAGTTTCTACAACACGGAACAACCACATGAAATTAGCAAATCCCAGAGTTGTAGAAATAGTAAGTACGACCATTGTTGCTACATTGACGTGTTGGTCGGGCTTGCCTATCGTGATGAAGCAACTGAGCTATACTGGCTAGAACAACCATTTCTCAAGGTCTTACCATGACAGACAGGTCGGTTGAAGAGCAGTAAGACTAAAAGCAACAAATCCAAGGTCCGAAGGCGAAGTCGTACTGCTGACTGTACAGGGGTGTGACAGCAGTAAGATGTTTCCTTCAGGCAACCAGCATGATAGCGATGCTGCCTACCCGCAAGGAATGGTGGAGTTAGAAAATGTCGACCCTAAAAAGGCACACCTCGCCTTATCCCACGGATATCCGTCTCCGGCGGTAAGGTCTCAACAAGTGCGGAGCCAACACAAATTTTAAGCATAAGGAGAGACATTGTCTTACACGGCGACCCCCTGCACCAAAACAACGATGGACTCAAATAGACCATATTGCCATCAGTCATCGTTGGAGAGGGTCGATAGAAGATTGTCGCTCATTCTGGAGTACCTGCTTGGACTCCGACCACGCACTAATACGAGCACGCATCTGCCTGCACCTCACTGGACGCAAAAAAGCCACATCGAAAAGACCCATTAGAACTGAACTGAGTAACGAGTAAACCAAATGTAGGTTCCAAGAACAACTAAGGTCACACTTAGGTAGTTCTGATAACGAGGCTAACCCAGATGTTACTTGGAAAGATATACAATCAGCTGTGGAAACAGCAGTGACATCTATTGGTGATTTAAACCACAGGGTTACAAACAACCAATGGATTTCTTCAAAGTATATTGCACTGATGGATTCTCGCAAACTCATTTCATCAGGCTCTGAACACCATATTGAGCGAAAGCAAATCAGATCTAGGTTAAGTAAAAGTCTAAGGAATGATCGTGAGTAGTGGTGGGTAACGAAAGCAAAAGAGATGGAAAGACTCTTTACTCGAACACTACTAGTCGAGTCAGAGTTATGGCAAACTGTCATCTGCTTTTGCAACCTCAAGTGGTGTCCATCAAGGCTGTCCACTTTCTTTATATTGGATAAACTTCATCATAGATCTACTGATGGAAATAACGCTCTCATGGACTGAATTCTCGGGCACTGATCTCCTACCAGGAGGTCCGCCCCCAAATGCCCCGGTACGGCCGAGAGTGGGGAGAGTCCGCTCTCACATGGCCACGCGTATATAGCCTCTGCCAGGGAAGTCCTACTCACTGCCTTCACGTGGAGGGGATGTTGTTTACGAAATCGAGAGGACGAAAAGCGAATGTCCGGCGCTTTAACCGGACCCCAAACCAATGGTGCACATGGGCTCCAGTATCCTGAAGGAATAAATGGCGTATGAACCAATCGTTGGTCACCGGCTACCATGGGACTTCATCTCCTTACGATGCTCCACTGCCTTGTGGATCAGATCTTCAGGCAGAAGGCTCAGGGTGTGGCCCCCTAAGGAGACCACCTGCTTCGGTCTGGGCACCCGGACACACATATCACACATATCAAATCAGATTGTGTGGCGCATATGTATTTGGTGCTCTCTTGTACCAATATCTATGTGTTAAAATAAATAAATAAAATACCAGGAGGTCCACTTATCGACTTACAATACGCAGATGACATAGTCCAGTTTGGTGAAGACGCTGATAAAGTGCAGAGTCTTCTGGTAGCACTGAGCAACAATGCCAGAATGTTTGGGATGCGCTTCTCTCCCTCTAAATGCAAGTTGTTGCTTCAGGAATGGTCTGCGTCAACACCCAAACTAAGGATAGGGAGTGAAGTAGTCGAACGCGTTGACAACTTCACTTATCTTGCAAGTCTGATCAGCCCTAATGGGTTGGTGTCTGACGAAATCTCAGCACGGATTCGAGGAGCTCGTTTGGCTTTCGCCAACTTAAATCACCTATGGCGAAGGCGAGATATCCGCCTATCAATTAAGGGTCGAGTATATTGCGCGACAGTTCGTTCCGTCCTACTATACGGCTGCGAAACATGGCCAGTAAGAGTAGAAGATACTCGTAAGTTACTAGTATTTGACCACAGGTGCCTTAGAAATATTGCTGATATCTGCTGGGATCACCGGGTAAGTAATAGTGAGGTTAGATGCAGGGTATTAGAGAATGATGGTAAATCAGTTGATGAGGTTATGAATCTTCATCGAATGAGATGGTTGGGCCACATGTTACGTATACCTGAACACCGATTACCACGACGCGCAATGCTAACCGGTGTCAGGGATAATTGGAAGAAAGTTAGGGGCAGCCAAACCAAAACGTGGCATCAGTGCTTGAAGACACTAACTTCTGGTTTAAGCCATGTTGATAGATGCAGACTAACTGGTTGTGGTCCGCGTAACTATCGTAACCAATGGTTAGAGACTCTTCGTGACATGGCTCAGAATCGATTACAATGGCGTCGGTGTATACACTCTTTGTCTTCCATTAAACTAAGAGATTAAAATCGCTTCACATCTTTCTTTCTACGAACTAATTCTTTCTTCCTGTACTATGTCCTTATATACAATCTTTCTTTTACATATTACCACCCTTGACTTAACTACTTCTATGAATCTGGTGTTCATCTTGTGCTAATGAGGTATGGCAACTTGGACCGATGCATATATGTGCCTAGTCCTACGTTGCAGCTGACTGACTGACTGAGAAATAGTAACGTTATCAGTGGTAATATGAACGATTAGGTACAGAAGATATGATTAAAAAAGAATATACGAAATTGTTGAATGATAATAAAAAATTGCAAGATAATGTAGGAATTCAGCATCAAAGGGAGTACAAAGAGTGAATATGTCAGCGCCACTGGGAACGATTCAAAGTCAAAACGCTCAAGCTCTAATCATTGGCTATGATAACCGCGCAGACCTCAAGCAGAAAATCTTGACCTACTTACATGGCTCAGTTCAACTGACAATGAATCTGTGCACAGATATGAAATTTTAACTGTTCAACTCCAGCTTTATCCAGACTAAATCCAACACTAGCGCACTGAGGTGGGTGGTAGTTGGGCATACACAACATATCCCTCAGCCACCTCAGTCAATGAACATTGACTATTTCACCAACTGATTCGTATTTAACTAGTACCTCAGCATCGCTTACTAGGTGATCACAACATACGACAAGAATGCATAGTAGGCATTCATAATTAAATACCAGTAACCCACGAATATCAATTATATTCAAAAGTCACGTTTTACAACCATAAGTAGAAAACTGCTGCACAGTGTACTCGTTCATTAGTTGGTAAACAAAAATTTCGCCTACTCCACAAATCCAAGCGAATTCATACACTAAGTCACCAACGATGAATCCACCGTCTTGGCTTTGTGGAATATTGTATGTATGAAGCCGAGACACCTAAACCAAAATAAGCGGAATGCAGTATCAACCTAATACTGAATAGTTACGAATACAAATACTGGATCATTAGCACATATTAATAACTATTGAGTTTTCGAATGTGATTAGAAGATATCACTAGGACAACTATTATCTACACATAACAATTAAATCTTCGAAAATTAAACTAAGCAAACTAATTACCTATCTTCTTGTCGAAACGATTGCAGAATCTGTTCAACAATATTTAACACTTCCACAATAAACAGCTGATCTGATTCATGATCAAGAAAATATGCACTTAAAGCTGAAGTGCTACATCTAATCTACATGATAAAAGAAAAGAAACAAACAGCAGATGTGATTAAAAAAGTGTGACATATTTTTACTGATATAATAAATCTATGTTTAACATTTTTTGTACAAATTTGTTGTTAAATGTAAAAGATCACACTTGATTAATAGTAATAAAACATAATAAATATAATATAAAAATTTTTAGAACACTGAAAAATGTAGACATTGAGTCAGTTAAACAGTTTATACAACTGAACACAGAATACCGAAAAAACTGATGTGACAGAGAAGAATCAAGCTTTACATTCGAGTGTTTATCCTACTTATGATTAAGTGATCAATGAAATTTTAATCTCCAAAATGTTTATTTTGATTACATTTTGTATCCAATATTTTGGATATCAGGATGTTATCTTATCAAGAGGGAAATCTATTTAGCTGGTCTTGTTATCCTAATAACAGTGCATTCATGAACCTAGACTGTGAAAAATGGGAGAATATATAGGGAAGTTTATAGATTTTCCTAATTATAAGCAATTCTTTGACTCATTAATTGTTAAGGCTTATGTTGAATTCGTATAAAATATAATTGATTAACTCGTGTATGTTGGTAATTTGAATCGTCCCATTGATGTTTAGGTTTGTAATTGATCAGATGTGCATTCTCTAAAGACTAATTGACAATAAACCAGTTACTTAGCTTAGTTATGCATTTACTGAGATTCATTATTTATGGCGTATCGTGGTCTTTTATTTGGTGATCATAATTACATGAGTTTTTGAGTCTAGAAAAATACAAACAACACAAGGTATTTGACTAAATTTTTCGATATTCTGATTAACGATTTGGATAAGGGTGAATTGTGTATACAATCAACCGCTAAAGTATACTATAACTATTTTACTGAGACTAGTTAAATCTACATTGATAAGTCAATTTTTCAACCTCGTTGGTGATTTTAATTTAGGGCGATTCAGCAACATATTCAATCTAAAGCAATTATATTAGGATACAAACCAGTTTCCGATAAAACTATAAGGTAAGAGAAGAGATTACTAATATATCTCAGGTTGATGGTTCGGTGTATCGATTTCTAACCTGGAATCGCTTTTAATTTTAACAAGATCAATCAACTGAAAATTGCTAGCGAATGATATTTCTGTCTTTTCTCTGAAATTCTTTTATCAATGTATAACTATAATCGTTAAAGAATTTCAAGTCTATGAACTAAAGCAAACTCTTTCTGAATAATTAATGATTTTCCCAACATTCTTTATTATCACGATGACTATACACTTAAGTGAATTAAAAAAGCTATGATCTAGATTAGAAGGACTGAAACAACAAAACTTTAAAATATTTCAGAATAGATGTATAAAACGTTATATAAGTAGGGTGTATTTCAAGTTATAGACAGTAAATAAAGGTTTTCATAAGAAGTATCAGAGAATTATTTACATACAAACTACGTATAAAGATATGAATAATCATACACACAAATGTTTAGTAAGTTGAACTGTGTCTAGCAGTGCCATTCGATGATGAACGCCTTTTCTGATTTAGTCTTCAAGATAAAAATATAGTGAAAGATTCTGGAAGGATTTTTGAAGTAATTAAATGAAGAATAAATCGGGTTTCCTGCTAAGTGCGCATAACACATCACTTTCGCATTGTATCAGAGTTAGCGAAATCCAAAATAAAACCAAACCAATCTGCACACCAACAATTTTTATGGTCATTTACTGTCGTGTCCTTACCTGGACTTAAATTTTCATACTTTCTATGATTGTACAGTTTTTAAAAATAAAATTATTGAAAAAGGATTTTCCTCACGAAATATTTGTTTTCTTTTTTAATGGAAATTATGAATGTATATAATGTAATTTTATTTAGCCTTCAGTGCTGATCGACTTCTGTTAACTAAGATCGCAAAAGGGCAATCAAGATGCATGATTTAATATAGCGGTTCATATTAAATGGTTATCAATAATCGAGAGCGAAAGATAAACACTAAGACTCAACGCGTTCGTTTTGTGCATCCACTGGAAAAAATATATGAGAACTACAGAAATTCGTTACTTCCTGTTCGAAAGATAATTTTACAAATGAGAAAAATATATCTACATCTTAAACATCAAAAATAACTATTACATAAAATAAACCAATCCTTGACATGGCTAAAAAATCGTTTGCAATGGCGCAGGTGCATCCACTCTCTGTGTTCTCCCAAACTCTAATCATTTGAATTCTCCATGTCCTTTATTTTCTTTCCAAATATATCCCGCTGGACTATATTCCTTAAATAACATCATCAAACCTTAACGTTTCCTGTCACTACTTATACTTTCACTACTCTGCCACTACGGGATTTGAGACGATAACTGAATCTCTGTGCTAGTGTGATATGGCAACTCGAACTGATATACGTACGTACGAAGTTCCACGTTGTTTCTGACTGACTGACTGAATTCAACTTATAAAAACTGTAATACATAAAAAAGAAATAGATAGACAGAAATTCTATGGAACATTTTACTAACTGTTAATTCTGTCAGACCACCGACACTGACGATTAAGCCTAAAATTAAACGATAACGATATTCTGGAAAATCCAACAATTTCGTAAAACGTTGAAATGTTGAGTTGGCCGAATTCCATATCATATCATCACAATCAGATCTAATAATAAACAAAACAGAACGAAATAACAGTTACGTGCACACGGGTAGTTGGTTGATTGAAGAAAATGTAACAGCGAACGTTTTACCGAAATATCAATTCCTAGAATAAAAATATTTTTTCACTGTGTTGATCGAAAATAACATACAAACTCATAATGAAGATTGTTTCAGATAATAAATCATTTAAGATCAATTGTATTAGGGTGGATACACTAATTTCTGTTCTTATTCAGTCTTAAATAATAAATGCATATTTGATGCCATTTTAATTTGATAGACCTGGCTAAACGCTTGGATTGGTTCCCTAAGCTCTTCTAATAACACAAGGCTAACTATACACGACAACTTGAACACGAGAGAACAAACGCATGATATGGAAAAAATGCCTTACTGCAAGGTTCGTTTATGTAACGAAAATCTAGGGTATTTATAGCATTTCAGACGACCTTGGGCTTCTGAAAAGTTATGGAACCCTACTGAACACAGCAGCAGGATAGGTAATCATCCAATCAGGAATGTGAAATGCAACTTTTCACTATCTAGATGTTTCTGATAAACTTCTATTCAATGCTGAATGGATAAAATGTTTCCCAGAGTTTTCAGGGCCCCATTGGGCTTTTATCGGGGAATTTTCTGGATATTCCTAACACGATTGATTAATTTCACCAATCGTTTAGCTTTATTTAGTTTTCACTGATGATATGTCAATGTTTCTAATGATAAGTATTTTTGGTCTGAATGTAATGAAGGGCTAACTTTTAACCATAGATCACTATGTCAGGTTTGTGTATTATTTATCTATATGATGACTAATTAGACCAAAATGAAGAGAATATCTACTAGAAAACAGGGTGGAAAATATGTGTTTATCGACGAGTTAATCAGATTTAAAATAGAATACAACTGGGTTTTTGAATGGAATTCAAAATATCGTGATGGGTAACTTGCATCTTACTAAGATCTTAGTATACATCTTATAATATTAAGTTGCTAAGACGCTTTAGTTGATTAACATGAGATAACTAGAGAATAGGAATCTTTTAAAGGTAAGTCAAAGGTTTTGGGTATTTTTAACCAAAGAAACATCTGCATAATTATTCAGCCAAAAAGCAACAAATCATGCTTCGATTCTACTCCTAAACACTACCCATAACTCCAAGCCATTTTAAGATTTCTGGGTAATAAATTATTCATCTATGTGGACTATATTTTAACTGACTAAAAATTGGCTTTACTTTCTCAATATCATTTATAATTCCCTGAAGGTCGTTAGTAAAGCACATCTTCAGTAAAATGATATTTCATAATACGATCTAAACAAGCGTTTTACAAAAATTCACATTACATCAGAAGCCATAAATCGATATCCGATACCGTTGGAGTGATATAATATTAAACAATGAATGACACTTCTGGAAGTAATATTGAGACAAATTTGAATTATATAGAGAGAATAAAAATAGTATCAAATTGAAAAGTAATAATTATATAAAACTTCATAGTACCAAGTGAATTATATGGGTAACCCACGCAATTCAACACAGTTTTATAAACTATTACGCAATGAAAATTCTACTTTACAGAAATTCATATTGAGCCGGAAAAATGGTCGTTAAAAATAACAAGAGATATGTAGAAATTACTTTGGGAAAATTTGTTTCAGTTCTTCAAAATGAGGAATGTGTTCGATAGGAGGGCTGTTGAAAACAAAGAAATAGGTAGATATTATTACTATTTGCATGCATAAAAAACCATTTTTACATCAATGTAAAGTTATATTCAGTAGATCTTGTCAATTATTTTCTAGCTATGAAATTTTAAACAATACAGTCTAATTTTCATTTAGCAACTAAGATACATTATTCACCGTGAATTAGTTAATACATGTTACAATGTATAATGAAACACTAAGTATAACATAGGTTTCATAAATGTAATTTATAAAAATATTATTTTATTAAAGACCAAGCTTATTGTTCGGTTATTATTTCCATACTGAATACAGTTTTTGCAAACAGCGACATCTATATGAGTATAACAAAACTGTTTAGGTTTTATTTATTCATTCATAGATGATAAAGTTCAAATCAACGGTTAGTTACTATAGATATGTGCTTTTATGACTCTACCTAGTTTTAAAATGAGAATAGATGAACCAATTTATTTTCTTGTTTGACTTCTTTTCAATTACTCACTAGTACTTTCCATTCGAAATTCATTTTCTCGAAATTGATTTACCTTTTTCATTAAGAAACTTAATAGGACGCGTCAAGAAACAAGAGTAAATAAGCAATGAGAACATGATTCACTCACTCATGATGGAGTAAATGAGCGAACACTTGACCAGCTACACCTCGCGTCCGATCGATTTTTTCAACAGCTTGTTGTGCGATGCTAGTCATCACTTCTTCAATCCTAAATATATAGTAAAACATTAAAAGAAACAATGTTAATGGCATTAATCAATAGAATAACAAACGATTTATAAAGTAATTAAGAGTTAAGGTAATTATTTCCATGAACACCTCTAAATTTCTTATATTATTGTTTAACGCGCCACCACTGGTTCAATATCGATTTTATTAGTATTGTTAAATATGCATCTTGGTGCAATGATTATGGTGATCAGTGATTAAAGACTTTGAGCGATATGACTCAGAATCATTAGCAATGGCCGAGATCTCTTGGTAAACCTAATAAATTTTGTATTCCATGAATTCATGTTTTCTTGATCTATATTGTATGCTCAATGGTTTCTGATGTCATCATTAATGTGTAAGCTCATCATACGTTGCATATAACTTGCTGAATGACACTGGTGAAAGGCCATTACAAGGAGATAGTCGAATAGAAATGCTTCATTATTCTTTATGTTTGTTTTCTAAAAGATTATATCAGGAAGTGAACTCCTAAAAAAAGTGATTGTTCTAGTAAAATGAATTAATATACAAAAACTTACATGTCTGGTGTAATAAGTTCTTTGTATTGATTATTTACAAGAAACTCAATATATGAGTCCAAACATTTCATTCCAACTTCACGAACACTATGTATTTGAAATAAGGCAAATAAAGAGAAACTATTAATCAGTATATACTACAACGATCTTAACAACACTGAAATTGTCGAGTGGAAAGAAATATCACTACATTATCTTTGTAAAGAAACAAAATTAACTTCAGAATAGATAGCCGTAGATAATATACTTTAGACATAATAGACTACAACTCGTTATAACAACTGAATCATAAACTTCAAATAACTAGTATATATATATATATATATATATATATATATATATGGGATGATTGAGAAATAGTTCCTAAATTAAAGTATTTGCGCATGAATTAGCCATTGGTCAGTAGGTGTTAAGTTTACTCAAGATATTTGTATGTCTCTAATTGCCCTGGTTTGGATGCGGGTGGGAAGTCCTCTCTCTCTCCAAATGCTCTCACATGGTCACGAGTATATAGCCACTCACATGGAAATCCTGCTCAATGCCTTATCGTGGTCAAGTGTTATTTACGAAGGACAAGGAGAGAATGTTTAGTGCTTTAACCGGGTTGGAGGATATGGAGGATTCATCTAGGAGAGTTAGTTAGAAAACCCTGATTCCAAACCAGTGGTGAACATGGGCTTCAGGATCCTGAAGGAACAAATGGCCTATCAATCTACTGTTGGTTACCGGCAACCATAGGGCTGCATCACTTAGCGTTGCTCCACTGCCTGATGGATTATACCTTTAGGTCAAAGGTTCAGGTGCAAAATTCCAAGAAAACCACCTGCTTCTGTTTGTGCAACCGAGAAGTATTCCAGCCCTCACAAAAATCATTCAATTTGTGTGGCGTATATGTATTTGGTGCCCCCTTGTACCAATGTTTCTGTGTTCAAATAAATAAACAAATATAAAAAATATTTGTATAATTATCGAAATACATATGTATCGCTACACAATAGGAAGACAAATAAATACTGAAAGTGAAGTCATTGATAAACAAGTGACCGTGGTATGATTTAATGCGAATAATGATAATAAAAATAATAATATTTTACGTAGTCAAGACAACAGGTTCTTGTTCGCCAAACAAAACCCGTTGGAGAATCTCATGCCATCTCACATGCATGACAACAATTGTAAAAACAGTATAAATTGGTTTGAAACAGCTGTTACCCTAGTTACAGCCTTCACAAAAAAAACAACCAAAGGCCCACATCTATTGTGTGATAATAATCAGAACTGTAAGGAAAACTTGCACTCCTATAAATATACTACTCAAGAACATGAATAGTAGTAATAAAGATAGCGGAAATTCCCACTGATCGATGTGTTGTTGATATGTGGATGTTAATTAACTATGTAAACTATTACTGGGTAATTGACGTGTGCGAGAACTTACTGGCCTCGTCGCAGAAACTTAATACGGTTGAGGAGGTTTCTATGGTTTAAATTTTAGTCGTGATTTAACTTAAAGAGAATGTGAACAGACGACAACGAAGTAAGAAAACGATGCACTATTACGACATACTCGGAAATGAACCAAATATATTTGAAACAATAATACACGATCATAAGGTTTTCTTTCGCAATATCTTTCAACGTTATATATATATATATATATATATATATATATCTTGTGGGGCCCTTTATTTTGTCGTCATTCAGATCGAACGATGTTGGTCGAAGGGCTCTCCACTTTAGTGGTCCAGGATCTGACTCCAAGTAGATCATATTAATGTTTGTTATCGCCTATCCTCGTATATACTCATTGACTTAAGTCGCGTTAGTCAATAACGGAATTAAATAAGTCAAATAACGAGAATGGACTTTTGAATACATATATTTTGTATATGAAGCGAATGGAATAGAACGAAGAAAAACGACGCGCAGTTGAGATGGCTGGTAAGCCAACTCCCCTTTGACCAAATGTTAATCAATATTTATAGTTACACATAAGTAAGTTACAGTCACGTGATGAGTAATGGGATCAGAAGTGTACATACACCTACGCGCTCATATAAAAACAGTGAAGATTGATAAGCGAATAATTAACAAGGTCAGAATATGACTCAAGTAGAATGAATAGATTGAACTGTCCGAAAGCTTACTTACTTACTTACGCCTGTTACTCCTCGTGAAGGAGCATAGGCCGCTCACCGGCATTCTCCATCCAACTCTGTCCTGGGCAATCCTTTCCAGTTCTCTCCAGTTGTTATTCATCCTTCTGATATTTGATTCTATTTCCCAACATAATGTGTTCTTTGGCCTTCCACTTTTCCGCTTCCCTTCAAGACTCCAAGTTAAGGCCTGCCTCGTGATGCAGTTTGATGATTACTCTAATGTATGTCCTATCCATTTCCATCGTCTTTTCCTAATTCCCTCTTCTGCTGGAAGTTGGTTGGTTCTCTCCCACAAAAGGCTGTTGCTGATGGTATCCGGTCAATGGATGTTGAGCATCTTGCGTAGACAGCTATTGATAAATACTTGTACCTTCTTGATGGTGGTTGTTGTAGTTCTCCAAGTTTCAGTTCCGTACAGTAGAACTGCCTTGACGTTCGTATTGAAGATTCTGACTTTGATATTGGTTGAAAGTTGTTTTGAGTTCCATATGTTCTTTAATTGAAGGAATGTTGTCCTTGCTTTACCAATCCTCGCCTTTACGTCTGCATCTGAACCTCCTTGTTCATCGATGATGCTTCCCACGTATGCGAAAGATTCTACATCTTCCAGAGTTTCGCCATCAAGAGTGATTAGATTGCTGTTCTCCGTGTTACATTTGAGAAACTTGGTTTTCCCCTTGTGTATGTTGAGAGCTATTGATGCAGAGACTGCTGCTATGCTGTCTGTCTTTATCTGCATTTGTTCGTGTGTATGCGATAAGAGGGCTAGGTCACCTGCGAAGTCTAAATCGCCTAATTGGTTCTCAGCTGTCCATTGTATGCCGTTTTTTCCCTCATATGTCGAGGTCTTCATAATCCAGTCGACCACCAGAAGAAAGAGGAAGGATTGATTGCAGCCTTCCATAGAATTGATCTTTAATGTCGTCCTTGCTATCATTTGCGGGTGCACAACATTGGATAATATTCATTGTGATCCCCTCCTTCTTTGTTTCGAATGATGCTTTGATGATTCTGGATCCGTGAGATTCCCATCCTACAAGTGTGTTTCATGTTACTTTGGATAGCATTAGAGCAACTCCATGAGTGTGCGGAGGATTTTCCTCTTCGTGACCGGAGTATAGTAGCATCTCTCCCGTATTTAGCCTTTGTTGTCCAGCTTGGGTCCAATGGGTTTCGCTGATTCCGAGTACTGCCAAGTTGTATCTCCTCATTTCCGTTGCTATTTGACTGGTCTTCCCGGTCTCCCACATTGTCCGGAAGTTCCAAGTACCTATAAAAATTGTTGCTCTGGTTGTTAGAAGGGGCATCGGCCTCATGGCTTCCGAAGGAACTCGGCTTTCACCCTGAGGCGTCATATTTCTACTAAATGAAGAACTTCTAAATCCCAGGGCAGAGTTTAAATGGTTTGAATTATTTTTTCTGGTTAGCGCTTTTTTAGCGATTTAGTTTTCTACGGGATGGGGTCGCTAACCCCATGCCTAACTCTCCTGCTTTACCCTGGCTTGGGACCGGCAGTAACTCCGGAACATCTACAGGCGGAGTTTGTCCGAAAGCTAGAATAAGGCATATGGGCTTAACATAGTAACTGACTATATATATATATATATATATATATATATATATATATATATATATATATATATATATATATATATATATATATATATATATATATATATATATATAACCATACCTAACTAACGAAAACTTAGGGATAAAACTAAAGGGTATTTTTAATGGAGTACATGGATTCACTAATGCTTATCGATCCTTGTAATTCAAATATTGTGCTATTCCTAACACTTTTCATCCGTTGTTTTTTTAGTGATTTTTACGGAGCAAATGACTGATCACTTGTTTACCAATATTAATGTCACTATTATTTAAGTTTTTGGTTATTCTATTTTGTATTGGTAATTACTGTATGGGCATTCATTAGAAGTGTGAAAGCATCAAATCAAAATGTACTTGCGGTTAGTTTCTTCACACTACCTTTGTAGTTGACAAGAACACAAGTGGGGACAATCGAATGCATATGAACACGAAGTTGCAGAACGTTTTAGCAAAATACTTCATTTGCAAAATGTCAATTAATCATCTCAAACTTCATTGTTTCTTCGTTTTCACAACATTCATTCTCTTTTCTTCGATATTCTTAACATTCTATCGCCAGGAATTTCACTTTCGATTCATGATACATACTACTTACATCTGTAGCACACACCACACCTTTTGTATCCATCAAAAAATTGCTAAATATAGAACAGGTAACCTTATAACATCAAAAGCGAGTAAAAGGTAAATACTAATAAGTGCTAAAAATGTATGGCGTAAATCCTTAATTGAAACATCAACAATGAACTTAAACAATATGCGTTACATAAACCCTACTGATTTATACACCAAATTATATTGTGCAAATTAAACCCAGTGTTTGTGAACGCATGATAAAAGTATGTTATAGAATATAAGAGCAATTTGATCACTTACAGAGAACCTACATCCCCACGTGCATCCATGGTATAGTCGAATAGAGATCGGAGTAAAATATAACATGTAGATTTCAAAAGGTTAGCATTTAATTCCGAGTGATGAGCCCCAAGATTTTTTATGATCCTAGAGTATGAATAATAGAATCAAGTGCAAAATTATATTTGACAAAATATTTAGCACAATTATCCCGTTATCACATGGGAATAACAATAATATACGTTAACAAAATTAACTCCAACTGTAGCTTTTCATGGGTTACCACAAGTCCCAAGTCCGGATAAAAGAGGGTTGGGCATAGGAGGACCATTTAAGTAGTTGACGAATCAGCGAAACACATTGGATCCAAGATAGACATAAGATTAGATTAAAAAGAGATGTTATTGCAATCTAGTCATGAGGAAGAAAACGCTTTGCACACAAAAGAATGTGAACTGATGTTGTCAAAAGAAACACGAAGCACGAAATGCACTTATAGGATGGTAATCTCATGGACCTAGGACCATTAAAGCATTCCTCCAAACAAAGAAAGAGGGAATTGCAATGAATGTTATCCAATGTTATGCACCCATCAACGATAGCAATAACAACGATAAAGATCAGGTCTACGAGAGGCTGCATTCAATCATAGCGAAATGCCCAAGAAAGGACCTGACAATCATGATAGGAAACCTGAACGCCAAAGTTAGAATCGACACCGAGTATGAAGAGATCATAGGACGACATGGACTGGGTGAATGGTGACAGATTTACAAATTTATGTGCCCATAACGAAAGTTATACGTGGCATTATATTCCCGCACCAAAGACAAACAAAAGCTACATGGGTCTCACGGAATCACACTACAGATAACCAAATCAACCACATTTGCAACACCCAGAAATTCAGAAGGTTAATCGAAGACGTGAGAACCAGGAGAGGAGTTGACATAGCTTCAGATCATCACCCGGTGGTTGCCAAGATGAAACTAAAGCTAAAGAAACACAGGATAACTCGAGAAAGAGCACTACAACGGTTTAATATCTGCGGCATACTGAAAAAGTCGACCAATTCAAGATAAGTCTCAGCAACAGCTTCCAAACCGTACAAGATCTACTCAAAGAAGAGAAAGTTACTGTGGAAAACTACTGGAAAGGGATCGAATGAGCACTAACTTCAACGTTTCAGGAAGTACTGAGTAGCAAAAAGCATCATAAGGGATGGAAGTCTATCGAAACTCTGGACAACATTCAAGAAAGGAAAAACAAAAACACAGCAATTAACAACAGCCGAACAAGAACAGAGAAAGTCAAGGCACAGATCAAATGCACAGAAGCAAATAAGCAAGTGAAGAGCAGCATTAAAACCGATAAGCAGAAATATATGAATGACCAAGCAACGACAGTGGAAAAAGTTGCAACAGAAAGAAATATGAGACAACTATATGAAACAACGAAGAAACTGGTAGGGAAATATAGTAAACCAGAGAGACCGGTCAAGGACAATGAAGGCACACCAATCACTGAGATTCAAGAACAAAAGAACAGGTGGGTAGAACACCACGAGGAAAGATTAAATAGACCAGTCCCACCAAACCCACCAGACACCGAAGCAGCGCACACAGACATTATTATAACTGTCACTCCACCAACGATCGAAGAAATCAGCACGGACTTCAGACAAATCAAGAGTGAGAAAGTAGCAGGACCTGAAGCATTGAAGTCAGACATATAAGTAACTGCAAATGTGAGCCTAGTTCTATTCACGAAGATTTAGAAGGAAGAACAAGTCCCACCTATAAACTTAAAAGAAGAATACTTTATCAAGAAGCCAAACAAAGGAGATCTGAGCACATGTGAGGACTACAGAGGCATCACACTACAATCGGTACCAGGAAAACTTTTCAACAGAGTGTTGCTGAACCAGACGAAAGATTCAATAGACATCCAGATTCGAGACCAACAGGTTGGATTCCATAAGGATATATATATATATATCTTAGGATATTAACTTATGAGATGAATAGTTTCTTAGCACACTATTAGACTAACACTATCACATAATGTTGGCAACTTCCATGTCGAAAATAATCATACAATTCTTAAAATTTTGTAGTTGAATAGCGAACATTAAATAATTAGGTCTTTTCTCAGACTTACTCAACAAGAGCTTTTAAAGCGGATCCGCGAGAATCAACCCAGAATTTTGTCTTTGAAGTCGATTTACAAGCACTAGTGACAGTATCCAACAAATCAGCAACATGTCCACAATACAAACTACTCGGAGCTGCACCAATAATTTGTAAATAACCGGAAAGTTCCGATTCAGAATTAGTATTTAAATGTAGTAAACAATTCCTGTACAATAAATCTGAAAATGAAAACAATTTACAAGTTATAAGTTAAACTAATATACAATGTTTAGTAGCGTGATTTACCTATCGATATCATTAATATATAACTCGAAAATAACATCTACGTACTTGACAGGAAATAAGGTTTAGCAGACTGATTGAACGAAGTAAATAAAAATGATACTTTTAAGTTGGATTGAATCTATTGTTCAGGTAACTATACAGTGAACTCAAAGACAAATTATTGATTAAACCAAATATATTTTGATTTTCTAATAGTACTTTATTGAACTTGGGATTCGATATTGAACATATCCACGCAAAAAAAAGTAGGGTTGAGTTTGAACTTCATTTTACCTACCTCAAGTAAGATATTCTGGTACCAGGTAAGTATGATCTGATGAGTGATCCTGAACAAATTAAGAGTTAACGCACTAAGCAAAACCACGAGAAAAATATAATTCAATGGAGCACTACTATAATAAATCCTACCAAAAACTATTTACAAGTGATAAATGACATTTGGTCAGTTCATCTGAATCTTATTTGTAGTAAACAGGATGAACTTTACAGCCAATATTAGGGGTTTATCAGTGGTAACAACAATCTCAGCAGTATAAAAAATGTCTAGCCGATTGAAAGGATACTATCCACAAATTCGGAGTGTGTGTGTGCTCAAATGAAGATTATCTACAGAATTTAGCTCATAGACCTAAAAACACTCCTCATCTATGGATGGACGGTACACAAATATATCAGTGGTTTGCGTTCCATCCACAAGGTTATTACCATCTAGTAAATATTGTTAACCTGTAAACAAAGCACGAAGATGAGTGTATTCGTGACTAGGTATGGTAGTGTCTTCATTTGTTTTTGTAACGAGTTGTCATGTACAAAATTTTATCTGATGAGTTTAAACTGGAAACACTATACCATGAGAGTAGTTTCAACAGATCGAGGAGTATGTACCAATGACAATGGTGAATGCTGATAGATAGAGAAAAAATGTCCCAGTAAAGATACCATATTTAGATAAAGGCAGTTGGTCAAACAAAAATTGGTACACATTATTGAAAGGTTATTAAAAGGCAGATTAACGTATAATTTATTTTACAAAATTTTTTAAAATACCTTTATAGCCTAACTTCAGTTCACCATTTCGGTTGTACAAATAAGTTGATAAAAAGTGAGGATATGCATTCACAGTAGCTTTCTGAAAATGAAGATACAATTTACTTATTGAGGAAAAACACCACTTCAGTTACAAAGTTAGGTTTACTTATAACAGATAAGCCCATCACGTGACAACACAATGTATCAAAATATAGATTATTTCTCCACAGAATAGAAAGCCATTTGTATGTTCAACTTTCATTGAAACTATTGAGATGTTCAAGTTATACACTTAATGAGGTAAACTGATAATGATAAAATCGAAAACTGATGTGATGTGCTACTCGAGACTGATTAGAGAAATGAAGAGAACTAACTATTGTCTATCATTCTCGACCCAACCTGTGGTGATTCCTCAGCAAAAAGATACGCTACCTGGTTTTGCCAAATCTATGTGTACCTACGAAACCAGGTGCTATCGTAGAGAAAGCTATTTTGGGTGCACAACCAGATAACTGGGCGAACAAGTTGGTAAGCACATACCTTTGTGGATAGGAAAGGGCATCGTCAAAACAATACACAGTTCTGTTCTATTACACTTGTTCGATAGCGGTCGTTTATTAGACAGAAATAGGTCATTTAAGGTGATTTATCGTATTCCGATTAGTTCACCTTATGGGGTTAGATCTCATCTCTTACACACACCAGAAGCTATAAGAATTCGAGCTAACAATTCAAGTTTTTGTATTCATAGGAAATTTGTAACACATCTCTTCCATGACCGAATTAATAAAAGATTATATTCATCATGATTTTCCATACCATTTGTTCGTCTATTTTTCTTCACCCCCACGTTTTTGGAAATGTACGCTTCTTTATCCAATTATCTGAGCACTTAATACGTAATCTTATAGTTTTATGGATGTTATTTAGGCATCTATATTTTTCCAAGTCAATGACCTATTTCCTATTATGGAGCATTCATTTGTGCGTTTGCTATCACAACTAGTACATCTGTCATCACACTATCAAATTGTACTTTTTACTTCTTATGTTTATTTATGTAATCTATCCACTGTTATCACTGACTCATAAACGATCTTGATTAGTTTAATAATTTAATATATGCACATAAATATTGATGTATATTAGAGTAAAGCCTGATAAGGATCTAATTAGAAACAACATTGTTCTAAATCGAAAACTAAAAAAATAAAATTTCAGATCAGAATGGGGTTTGTGGGGATTGTAGTAATTTTCACGAGTTGAATTTATGAGTCGAGAGGTCGTGACCAGTAGAGTCCAATCCGTGTCTGGTAGAGACAGATATCTACCTCAGAAAATGGATGAATGGTTACGCAAGATCATGAATCGATGGAAGTTAGACATTAACACTGTTGGATGACAGCTCAGTGGTCTACATGTTTAGCGCCCTCGCGCGAGACCCATGGTCCTGGATACGCGTCCTGCTTGTGGGATCGTGGATGTGCACTGCTGAGGAGTCCCATACTAGGAAGAAACGACAGTCTAGTGCTTCCAGATCTTCAATGGTGGCCTAGCTTACATCGACTCATGAATTTAACTATTAAAATGAAAATTTAACAAGTATAATTCAAATAATCACATCCCCAGTTGTTAGTGATAAAGCTTCATCATTTGGTCATATTGAAGGTATTCAGAGGAACAAGTACAATAAGAATTTAAACAACATATGATTATTGGATTGATATAAGTACTCGATTGGTTACTTGGACAAGACTAGCTACGATTTGATTTTTATATTCCTCTATAATTTCATTATATTATAATGGTTTAATACAGTTAATGTAGCTTCTAATAGCCTTGATCTATTTCCAATCAATGCATAAAACTTTTCACTAGTTTGAACAAAATCAACCTAAAAGTTGGATATTAATTAAGACAGATTGATTTGAATTTCAGCTTACAAATATTAAAATAAATAGTTGAGAGAAGATAAATTAAAATTATGAAACGAAAAATTGTACTTTTTTTCAATGAGCTGTTAAGATAACTTTTATTATCAATCACCATTTGTTTCTATCAATATGATCAATAAGAAAAGCTTAATTGTCACAAACTGTACAAATTTTACCGGTAAGTTTAAAGGTTCCTTTTGTTAAAACTAAATAGTTAAAATAAAATATCCACCCCACCCCACCCCCAAAAAATAGGCAAATAAGCATGGTTAGAAAGTATAAGAAAATAATATGTTTAAGAATAATTAAGCATTAAATAACTTAAAATTTTTTCACTGTAACATATTTTAAACATTACCTGTACTTCAGGATTTTTATGTCCAACACAATCATCCAAGAATTCACGCCAAACTTCTGACAGTACAAAAATAATATGACAAGGAAATAAAATAATAAATTTAATAGATATACACCCAATGTGCTGGATTTCGCATTTGATAGACAACTTGCACAGTATTTGGAAAGTAAATTAAGGATAAGGTGATGCATGATTATTTATACATGCTAGCAAAATCGGCAACATACGATGAATCGATTACATCTTCTTACTGGTTAAACGAATAACATGCGAGTATGTACTAACAAAGTAACTGGATCCAATACATACAAAAGTACACGCTATACGTCCCGTAATAATAAACTTGAAGTATATTTGTAATGTTTTATTATAACTCACCTAGAAAATACGGGTTTATGCACTCAAGATGTACAATACTATTCGTGTGATGGTTAGAGATACTGCCCAGCTTTCCAAACCCGAGTAGGTAAGGTGGAGTTTACTTACTTACGCCTGTTACTCCCAATGGAGCATAGGCCGCCGACTAGAACTCTCTAACCCACTCTGTCCTGGGCCTTCCCTTCTAGTTCTATCCAATTCTTGTTCATTTTCCTTATGTCTGTCTCCATTTCTCAACATAATGTGTTCTTTGGTCTTCCTCTCCCCCTTTGGACTTGAGGATTCCATGTGAGGGCTTGTCTCGTAACGCAGTTCGTTACTTCCCTCAATGTGTGTCCTATCCACTTCCATAGCCTCTTGTTGATTTCTTCCTCCACTGGGATCTGGTTTGTTCTCTCCTACAATAGGTTGTTGCTAATAGTGTCTGGCTAACGGATCCGAAGTATTTTGCGTAGACAACTGTTAATAAACACCTGCATCTTCTGGATGATTGCTTTCGTGGTTTTCCAGGTTTCCGCCACATACAGTAGAACTGTCTTCACATTTGTATTGAAAATTCTGACCTTGATGTTGGTTGCCAATTGTTTTGAGTTCCACATGTTCTTCAGTTGTAAATATGCTGCTCTTACTTTGCCGATCCGTGCCTTCACATCTGCATCAGATCCACCGTGTTCATCGATAATCCTGCCCAAATATGTAAAGGTTTGTACATCTTCCAAATCTTCTGCGTCAATTGTGATTGGATTGTTGCATGCTGTGTTGTATCAGAGAATCTTGCTTTTCCCCTAGTGTATATTGAGATCTATTGCTGCTGAGGCTGCTGCTACACTGGTCGTCTTCTCCTGCATTTGTTGTTGCGTTTGCGATAGAAGACCCAGATCATCTGCGAAGTCTAGATCATCCAAGTGCATCCTAGCTGTCCACTGTATCCTGTGCTTCTCTTCAGATGTTGACGTCTTCATGATCCAGTCGATCACCAGGAGAAAGAGAAATGGTGAGAGTAAGCAACCTTGCCTGACACCGGTCTTTACTTCGAACGAGTTTGTCAACTGTCCTCCATGAACGATTTTGCAGTTTAATCCATCATAGGAATTCGTGTGATATTGACTATCTTCTCAGGCACGCCGTAGTGTCGAAGAGACTTCCATAGGGTTGTCCTGTCCATGCTGCCAAATGCTTTTTCGTATTCAATGAAGTTGATGTACAGTGATGAATTCCATTCAATTGATTGTTCCACAATGATCCGTATTGTTGCGATTTAGTCTGTACACGATCTATCCTTACGGAATCCTGCCTGTTGGTCACGAAGTTGTGCGTCCACGGAGTCCTTCATCCTGTTTAAAAATACCCTGTTGGAGACTTTTCCTGGTATTGAAAGAAGAGTGATTCCCCTGTAGTTACCACAGTTGCTGAGATCGCCTTTCTTTGGTATTTTGACCAGAAGTCCTTCTTTCCAGTCTTTTGGTACCTGCTCCTCATCCCAAATATTCCTGAAGAGAATGTGGAGTATCTTTGCAGTTACCGCTACGTCTGCTTTCAGTGCCTCTGCTGGAATGCCATCTGGTCTTGCTGCTTTGTCACACTTGATTTTTCTGATGGCCATGCTGATTTCTTCAATTGTTGATGGGCAAACATCGATTGGGAGGTCCGTGAGTGCTGCTTCGATGTTGGGTGGGTTCAGTGAAACTGGTCGATTCAAGAGTTCTTTGAAGTGTTCTACCCACCTGTTTCGTTGTTCTTCAATGTTGGTGATTATCTTGCCTTCCTTGCTTTTCACTGGTCTTTCTGGTTTACGGTGATTTCCAGAGAGTTTCTTTGTTGTCATACAGTTGTTTCATGTTTCCTTCTTTTGCAGCCTTTTCCGCCGTCAATGCTAAATCTTCCACATATTTACGTTTGTCAGTTCTGATGCTCCTCTTCACTTTCTTGTTTACTTCTGTGTATTCAGCTTGTGCCTTGGCTTTTTCTGCTTTTGTTCAACTGGTATTGATTGCTATCTTCTTGTTCCTCCTTTCTTGAATTTTATCCAATCCTTGTGATGGTGCTTCTTTTGGCCCAGAACCTCATGACATGTTGAAGTGATTGGCTCTTTTATCTCTTTCCAGTTGCTCTCCATAGTAGTTCCTTTTCCATTGAGTAGATAATGAAAGGCCTGGAACTTATAGGCGGAGGTTAGACCTACGAAATAAGTTGAGGGTTGAACGTTTGAACTGTTGAGTTGTCAATCCTACCAAGTACATCTCAGTAAAGAATGAATGAAATAAAATTAACTTGACTGCAAACAGAGATGTGTAATTCACTATGATGATATGGATAATGTTCTATATCTTCTAAGTAGTTTTTATTTTGAACTGAAGATATTCAGAGGACAGCGAAAACCAAGGAGAACTGTACAGCGATTTCAATGTAGTTTGGAATTTCTTAGATACACTCACACAGGATCAGTCAGTAACAACGTGGAACTTCGTACGTACGTACATCAGTTCGAGTTGCCACACCACATTAGCACAGAGATTCAGTTATCGATTCAAATCCCATAGTGGTAGAGAAAGTATAAATAGTGACAGGGAACATTAGGGTTTGATGATGTTATTTAAGGAGTATAGTCCAGCGGAATAGATTCGGAAAGAAAATAAAGGACATGAAGAATTCAGAAGATTAGACTCACACAGGATACCATATGGTATCAAGCACAGAAACGTACGGTCTCGATACAACCAAAATACCGGGATTGAATGTACCGTACTTTCGAATTCGGCCAGTTTTTGATTTGGCAATACGATCGATGAGATACTGTCTCACTTCCGACTTGTTGACTCTATATTTTATTGTCGCCTATAAGAATTCATGGTAATCTATTTTTAGTGTAGGTGCCAAACAAAATATGATAATTATGACCGAGCGATGTTTGTCTTGTAGAGAGACTTAAGTGTGTCGAATGTCAAAATTCCGAACCAAACCGAAAAAGTTATAATAAGTGCAGGAAAAACTCACCAATAATTGGATCATCATGAAACGGTAATCTGGCGATTGCACACTTCTGAATAAAATGAGCAGTTGCTTTTCGAATTAATTCACCACTTAGACCACGAAATTTGTTCGCACTTTTAAGCTGAGTAAAAGAAAACGATAAAGGTGATAAAGCTTCTTTCATTAGTAACTACACACACATATAAATGATGAAGAAATTGAACGCATAATACATAAAATAAATATCCATACTACTCTGGAAAATTTATTACGTGAAAAAAAAGTTGTGAGACATTCATTTTTGCTTACAAAAACAATATATTAAGAAATGGTCGACTGAGAGTGCTACTCATTCATCGCACAATTATATAAATATAATTGCATCACTGAAAACCATAGCTATCATTATGATACAAGCTTGACAAAAGTTTTTTTCGTAACCAAATTTCAGATTACGACGAAATAATCGGGTTGAGCGAAGAGACAATAGCGAACGCGTACGCTAATGTCCAGCAAAGCTTTAAACAGCCGTTATAAAAGAGGTAACAGAATTTCGGTATTACAAACAGGATCAGTGGAAACATTTGCACTAAGTTCGTCAGCTAAATAGGTTTCCTATTAACAGACACTATTACCAACCAATTATATATCAGTGGTAGTAAAATACTAGGTATATAGAATACTATCGGAGAAAAAAAAAACTAGTTCGCGAAACAAAAGAGCATAAAAATAATTTTGCAATTCATGATCTAAGGACAGACGAAGAGTACATTAATATGTGCGATTGTGATCGATTATTAGCCTTGTCATTCGACGTCTCTCACCAATGGTCACGATAATTGCGCATACTTTCAACCAACATGGTTCAGACTAACAGGTAATGGCTTCGAGGACCGATGACATGTTTTTGGTTTGGCTGCCCCTAACCTTTATTCAAATTACTTCTACACCGGCTATCATTACCCGTCAATTTAGGTATACATAACACATCCCAACCACTTCAATCCATAAGGACCCACAAACTTATCAACCAATTTACTATACTTGTCTAACATTGTACATTGAACTTTATGACTGCTCACTAAGTGGTCCTAACATACATGGGTAATGCCTTGAAGACACTGATCCAATCCCAGTAATCGACTTGATGCTAATAACACAAATTTACATCAGATAAACTTAAAAACAGAATTTTGTAAGATAAGCTCTTAAAGTTATATAACAATCTCAATCTTCTTTTTCTTCAATTTCTTTCTCCTGTTATCATTAGTGTTTCGAATTTTTACCCTCGAATTTAAAAAAGACACCATTTCAGGGTTACACACAATCAGTAACAACAATAGTAAAAAGTAACACCTGACTAAAAGTATGAACATTTGTTACTATTATTATTACCACCATTACTATTACCATTATTATTGATATTTGTCCTCTGCCTAATGATTACGGCAAGAATACGGTATACAACTATCCGCACCCGGGTGTATAGAACCCCTACAGTTACAAATCAAACGACGGAAGAAGGGAAGCGATTATTGGGTAGAAGTCAAAAATGTACAGAAGAACAGGGGTATTTACAGTTTTTAGTATAAGCTATAAAATTATTACAACTCAGTCTATCAGCAAGCAGGAAAGTTATACAATTGTCCAATCATGGAATGTCATGTTGATGTTATAGAAGGTTCTGTCAGATTCTGATTGAATATAATCTCTTCGGCTCCTTTAGAGCCCATGGAGACTTCGTCGTGCTTTTTGGGAGCCTTCCCAACAATATTATTAATATTATCATTGCCATTATTATTATTACTAACATTCTTACTAACACTACTACTATTCATCCAATTAATCATTAATATTAGAAAAGCAACACATTATAGCAACCTTATATTCAGGATACATCTATATCTCCAAAGGATTCATGTAAAAATACAAAACAATATGTAATAAGCATAATTGAGAATGGAAATTCAACTTACTGCTGGAACAATTTCCTTAATCTTGAGTAGATTTTTCTCATTTATAACATAACTGAAAAAAAACAGAAATAATAACAGTAGGATAGGACATGTAGAAATAATAATTAGATTCAAGAATACTGTTTCTTATTTAATTTTAATACAGATTAATTTATTGGTGTGATTATAGTAATTGTTTAACGTAAAAATCAGTCTATTTGAAGATATATATTTGGGGTTATATACAACAGATTGTTGTATTATGTTACACATTGGTTTATTGCTTCACAACCTATAAATAAGATAATCACTAATGATTACGTAACTGTAATTCAACTTTTGAGTTATTTATTAAGTGTAACGTTCGAAATGAAAATCTTCTAGACAGAACGGGATATAAATGATCAATCAGTAATTATCTTATTACTCAGTGACAGAAAAGAAGACTAAAACATTGGAACTGACAACACAAAATGACGCTACACTGTACAATAAACCATTCTGACTAAAAACTTCGACATTTATCAGTTGGATTTTTAGCATGTATACTGATATATAAAAACTTTCGTCTAAATTTGATCGAATAGTTTCACAGTATTTGGGAGCCGAGTTGACGTGAGACGTTAAAGAGAAAGAATATATTTGTAAAATCTCAGCGAAAGAATCTGAAGCAAATCCAACGTTTCGCCTGGCAATCTGGTCCAGGCTTTTCCAAGGAAATGTAATCAAACATTAAAACTATCGAATATAAATAGGTACATGGTTCTCCTGTTCATTGTGTACTGAATAGGTCATCCAATCAACGTTAACAATGTTTAAAGTAGGTATTTGCATTAGTGTGTAAGAGACATGTAATGTGAAACGAAAAGTATTAAGATAATAGATTGTGTGTATACGCAAGTGTGAGAAGCAATTTCTCTAGTTGGTGGATTTTAAGAAAACACATAATTTTATATACGATATGAATCAAAAATTCACTGACCAGAGAATTCGCTTCTCACACCACTTGCCTATACACACAATCTATTGTCTTAACACTTTTCGTTTCAGATTACATTGGATTTACTTCAGATACCCTCGCTGAGATTCTACAAATACATTCTTCCTCTTTAATGTATACTGATATATTTTTGATTATTTTATCATCAGCGACAACATTCTCCAGGACTTTTCTAAACTTCGTTTCAATTTCACTGTGCAACAGAGAACGGTCAATAGAAAATCAAATTTATAATTTAAAGTCACAAGAATATTGTCTTCATTCGTTAAGCTAGATATTGTAGCTGTCTCTGCATTATGCCTAGAATCCTTCCCCTTTACATACAGTTAAATCTTCAACTTGTTATTGTCACCACACATATTAGGCATAAATACAAACATTGATTTCTTATAAAAAATACCTCTAACAGCACTCAAGACCACTGTATTCATAGTCAACCTCCCTCTTCAATTCCTATTATTCCTCCTACATCGACTTTATACACTAAACTTCCTCTATTAGCTTCCTCCTCAAGTGTCACCACAGCCAACGATTCTAATGCTCAAAACACTGTCCCAGGTCTACTGAAACCTCGCTCCAAACTACACATTGGAGCCTTCAACGTACGCACACTATGCCAAATCGGTCAGCAGGCTTCCTTGGCTAAAACCTTAGAATCTCGTACCATTGATGTATGCTGTGTCTCCGAAACACGCATACAGGATCCTAGTGTGGTCATTCACTTGACCTCACCTCGGCAAAACGGAGAGCCAACGAGATACACCCTCCGTGTATCTGGCGACCCGATGGCTAGTTCTCGTGGACTGGCAGGTGTAGGCATAGCACTTAGCATGAGGGCGGAACAAGCGCTATTAGAATGGATCCCCGTTAACAGTCGTCTATGCGCTGTTCGGCTAAACGGCTCGGTAAGAACTCGGAAGGATAGGGACACACGTCGGTGCCTTTTCGTCGTTTCTGCCTACGCTCCCACTAACTGCAGTTCGGATGAAGTGAAAGATGAATTTTACAGAATGCTGTCTGAACTTCTTCAGAAAGCTAAACGTTCAGACATAGTACTCGTAGGAGGTGACTTTAATGCCCAGGTAGGTAGCTTAAACAAAACAGAAAGACATTTAGGTGGGTATTTTAGTATTCCGGCACAGCGAACAGATAATGGTGATCGTCTGCTGCAACTGTGCTCAGACAATCGTTTATTTTTAGCAAACACAAATTTTAAGCATAAGGAGAGACATCGACTAACATGGCGACCCCCTGCACCAAACCAACGATGGACTCAAATAGACCATATTGCCATCAGTCATCGTTGGAGAGGGTCAATAGAAGATTGTCGCTCATTCTGGGGTACCTGCTTGGACTCTGATCATGCCCTAGTACGAGCACGCATCTGCTTGCGCCTCACTGGACGCAAAAGAGCCACACAAAAAAGACTCATTAGAACCGAATTGAGTAATGAGAAAGCCAAAAGTAGGTTCCAGGAACAACTGAGGTCACACTTAGGTAGTTCTGAAAACGAGACTGACCCAGATGTTGCTTGGAAAGTTATACAAGCAGCTGTGGAAACAGCAGTGACATCTACTAGCGATTCAAACCACAGGGTTACAAAGAACCAATGGATTTCGTCAAGGTCTATTGCACTGATAGATTCTCGCAAACTCATCCCATCAGGTTCTGAATACGATGAAGAGCGTAAAGAAATCAGATCTAGATTAAGCAAAAGTCTAAAGAATGATCGTGAGCAGTGGTGGGCAACGAAAGCAAAAGAGATGGAAAAGGCGGCGGCTATAGGGAATACAAGACAACTCTACAGACTAATAAAAGAAACTGGAATTAATAAATCAAGTGTAAGTCAGACCATTTCGGAAAAAGACGACACTCTCATCTGCTCCCAGTCCAGACGCTTAGAACGATGGGCGGAACACTTCAAGGAGCAGTTTAGCTGGCCTTCAGCTACTCTACAACTACCCTCTATTCCCAGACAGTGTGAATGGAACATTGAAGTAGGTCCCCCAACTCTAGCTGAAGTTCAAAAGGCTATAGCTAATCTGAAACGAGGAAGGGCAGCTGGTCCAGATGGATTGGCCCCAGAGGTCTTTAAGGATGGTGGTCTAGTCTTAGCGATTAGGTTGACTAATATTTTAGCTAAAATCTGGGAGTTAGACGTTATCCCATCTAACTGGTCACAATCACTTATCGTCCCAATATTTAAGAAAGGGTCAAAATCATCCTGTGACAACCACAGAGGGATTAGTTTGACTAATATAGTATCTAAAATACTAGCTTCGATAATTTTCGGACGCCTAACTAAAACTCGTGAGCTGCAAACACGTGAAAATCAGGCTGGCTTCAGACCTGGTCGTGGCTGCATCGACCACATATTCACCATTCGTCAGGTTCTAGAACACAGGCATACTTATCGGCGTCCGACAATGGTGGTATTCCTTGACTTAAAAGCAGCGTTTGACTCTGTTGACCGAGAGGTTCTGTGGCAGTGTCTGTCATTGAAAGGCGTACCTCAGAAGTACATAAACCTTGTGAAGGCTCTTTACTCGAACACTACTAGTCGGGTCAGAGCCTATGGCGAACTGTCATCTGATTTTGCAACCTCAAGTGGCGTCCGTCAAGGCTGTCCACTTTCTCCTTTTTTGTTTAACTTTATCATAGACATCCTGATGGAAATAACGCTCTCATCGACTGGCTTCTCGGGTATTGATCTCCTACCAGGAGGTCCACTTATTGACTTGGAATACGCAGATGACATAGTCCTGTTTGGTGAAGACGCTGACGAAATGCAGAGTCTTTTGTTAGCACTGAGCAACAATGCCCGATTGTTTGGGATGCGCTTTTCTCCCTCTAAATGCAAGTTGTTGCTTCAGGACTGGTCTGCATCAACACCTGAACTAAGGATAGGGGGTGAAGTAGTCGAACGCGTTGACAACTTCACTTATCTTGCAAGTCTGATCAGCCCTAATGGGTTGGTGTCTGACGAAATCTCAGCACGGATTCGAAAAGCTCGCTTGGCCTTTGCCAACTTACGTCATCTATGGCGAAGGCGAGATATTCGTCTATCAATTAAGGGACGAGTATACTGCGCGGCAGTTCGTTCCGTCCTTCTATACGGCTGCGAAACATGGCCTTTAAGAGTGGAAGATATTCGTAAGTTACTAGTATTTGACCACAGGTGCCTTAGAAATATTGCGGGTATCTGCTGGGATCACCGGGTAAGTAATAGTGAGGTTAGACGCAGGGTATTAGGGAATGATGGTAAATCAGTTGATGAGGTTATGAATCTTCATCGACTGAGATGGTTGGGCCACGTGTTGCGTATGCCTGAACACCGATTACCACGACGCGCAATGCTGACTAGTGCAGGGGATAATTGGAAGAAAGTTAGGGGCGGCCAAACCAAAACGTGGCATCAGTGCTTGAAGTCACTAACTTCTGGTCTGAGTCATGTTGGGAGATTCAGACTGCCTGGTTGGGGTCCGCGTGACTATCGTAACCAATGGTTGGAGACTCTTGGTGACATGGCTCAGAATCGATCACAATGGCGTCGGTGTATACACTCTCTGTCTTCCTTAAATTAAGAGATTAAAATCGCTTCATATCTGTCTAGGAACTAATTCTTTCTTCCTGTACTATCTCCTTATACACAATCTTTCTTCTATAGATTACCACCACTGAATTAACTACTCCTATGAATCCGGTGTTCATCTTGTTGTGCTAATGCGGTATGGCAACTTGGACCGATGCATATACGTGCCTGGTCCTACGTTGCAGCTGACTGACTGACTGACTGAAGTTGGAAAACTCAGCATCGACGAATTACATTTAGAAAACTTTGATTAAAATTAAATATTACAAAGAATATTCTGTCAGCAAACATTGTCAAGTAAAATTTAATGAAGTGACCAAAGTTTATTTCATTTGAATGTTATTCAGAAAATGATTAACGTAAATTAAACAATGACAGGCTGGCGCATACATATGCATATAGCATAAAATAATCCAATGAACCTAAACCAATATTATTTTCCTCGGTTTCACTGATTTAATAACGATTGACCAACATATATAATAGCAAATGTTACAAATAAACGGTTACACAATGGCACATATAAACAGTACAATCAGTAAACCACTAACCTGGATGATGCACATACCAATTCACCTGTACCAAATATACACCCTTGTTGGTTATGTAGAGTAGATTTAATTGAACCATTGATTATCTGAGGCAAGACTTAAAAGCAAAACGAATACATCTTATTACTTAATAAGAGTAAAAAAGATAACTTAAAATTTAGATTACTGACTGTTTTCACAGTTATAGTTACGTCTGATAACACCTCAAGTAGCTTAGTTGAATAATTTTCAGGATCCCATAAAAGGAAACATAACGTTTCAGTTGATTACGAAACAAAACACGTAGCCTTCACTAATCCTCGTAACATTTTAGGTGTAACCATAGCTTTTTACTTTATAAGTAGGAAGCATACTAGATTTGAACTGATAGTTACAAGTAATTTGTCTCAATGAATACATTATAAAGAAAAACCGTACCATACAATCATTTTTAGTTTTCGCCTATACGTATGCTAAACGTTGTTAGTCTAACATGATGTGTAATAAGTGGGCCTAATAAACATGTCTTGATTGATTGGAGAGTGAGTGACATACAAATTGGTTCATACGCCATTTGTTCCTTCAGGATCCAGAAGACCATGTGAACCATTGGTTTAAAATCAGGGTTTTCCAACTCCCCCAGGGTGGGTCCTCCATATTGTCGATCAATCAGCATTCTACTCAATGATAATGAGCAAACAATCACTCATCAAATCACAAAATCCTCCTACATAAAACAATGATAGTAGGAAACCAAGCGTATGGAATCAGTTATACTAGTTCCCACTCAAACGATAACGAAAATGGATTTTGTCCCAGCAAATCATCATTGATAAGAACACGAGAAGCCATATTATACACAAATTAGTTAGCATACCTTATTGATCCTACTGAATAGCAATTAAGTAATTTCAGAATAACGACTGCTAGTTCAAAGTATTATAAAAGACAATAACCCAAATGAAAGGAAATAATAAATGTACTAAAACAGTATTGAGATGTGATAGTTAATGTACTCAATTATCACTCGTATAATACTAGTAAATATGGCTTTTATAAAATCTAGCACAGTTAAACTTGTAAATTATTGACTGACTATTACATATGAGACCAAACAAATACACGATTATAATAATCCGATGAATAAATTATACTATTTAAGGATGAAATTAAACTGAACCTTAAAATTATAATTAAGTCTGGATTACTCGAAGAACTAACCAATACGATAATAAATTTACAGCATGTAACTGTTAGCGGGACATAGATTGGATTAAAGCATGCTCAATGAACGATTGCTCTGGTGCACGCTGATTGGCTAATTCTTGTCTAATCAGCGCTAGTCGATACTTGGAGAATATTTTATTTATTTATTTATTTATTTTAACACATAGAAATCGGTACAAGAAGGCACTAAATACATATGCGCCACACAGATCTCATTTGATATGTGTGAGGGCTGTGATACTGCCCGAGTGCCCAAACAGAAGCAGGTGGTTTTCTTAGGGGACCACACCCCGAGCCTTTGACCTGAACGTCTAACCCACAAGGCAGTGGAGCATCGTGAGGAGATGCAGTCCCATGGTAGCCGGTGACCAACGATTGGTTCATACGCCATTTGATCCTTCAGGATACTGGGGCCCATGTGCACCATTGATTTGGGATCCGGTTAAAGCGCCGGACATTCGCTTTTCGTCCTCTCATTTTCGTAAACAACACCCCCGCCACGAGAAGGCAGTGAGTAGGACTTCCCTGGCAGAGAATACTTTAGAAATATTCTCATGTAAAAAACTATAAATATACTAACATTTTTCCTATTGTGCTTCTTACTTCCATATAACCTTGTTATTTGGAATATAATCTCTTTCCTGTTCAACCGTGTTCTGATCTGGGGACTAGTTGAGTGAATTGGTGTCCGAGAATACTAAGCAATAGGAATCGCTGGGTTATAACCGTAAGAGAGAATTATAACAGTAACGAATGTCAAAATAAGCATAAGTATACGTGGTGTTTGAATGAACTAATGACTCCTTGGTACTGGTTGAATGCCTGATTTCGAATTCTAAATACAGTACATTCGTTCGTGCTTATCTAGTAGTTCTTGATCCAATTACGTTATTTCTGGGATTCTTAGTTCGTACTATAATTCAAATACTCGTAATCATCATAGTATAGCCCGAAAAGATTGAAGAATATGTTTACTAGGATAAAATAAAACTCACCATTTTCCATCATGTAATCAGGATTAGCTATGTATAGTTTGCCTAAAGCACAAGCAGCCAGATATCTGATTGAATCATCCCAATGTCCAAGACGAACATTGACCAAATGATCAATCATAGGTTCTACATATTCTTTAAATTTAGCTACAGACACACTGAATAATAATTTCAAGAAATATATTTAATCATTAGTACAAAAACAGTAGAAATAAAAATTGTATAGTTTGAACAAGGGTAGTAACTATGTAATAACCTATAAAGTTAGCTACCTTTTTGTTTTGATGAAGGTTTAACCATCAGCCTCTGTGGTAACTCATTTGTCAAAACGTTTTATATACTAGACTCTGAGTCGCACTTTGTGTGGTTAGCAATATTACCCGATTACCAAATTCAGTGTTGGTGGCAGAGTAAGAGAAAAGATATATAGGAAAATTCAGAGTGCTTTACGTCAATTCGGGGCATTTTTAGCCCCGTCTTGATGTCAGTCCGGCTACAAAACATCATTGTTGTGTCAGTAAGGGTAATCTTTCCTTACTTTAGTGAAATTTAGCCCCTCCAAGATGGCGACTTCCGACGACTGTGTGCCATCATCGTTGTTTCCAAAAGATTGCCCACATCCGGGGTAAACACCATGTTAGAAATATATATCCAGTAGCAGTGATAATAACTGACTTTCGAGAAACCGACTTCAGTAGCCCTGCATTATTTTACAAATGTCATCACTTAGACTCCTATATCATGCATTATTTGCCAACGCCGAGACTGTGTGATTAAAGAAGTGGTCAATTAATAACATGAAGCCGTGATATGAGAGGCAGCTACAAGGAACTGGAATCTGTTATTCCTTTAAGACTTGCCGGTCGAAATACTCACTAGTTTGAGATGTAACTAGTCACAGTTTGAAACAGAATCCAGTGGTGATTTTGCTGTAGTTTTCCATTACAGTCTTCATGCAAGTGAGGTGACCTCCTTTGAGTGAATTGAGTCTCTCTTGGTTGTATTTTTAAATGAACTGTATCTCAAACCACATGTTATTGTTTTCCATCAATTCAATGACTATACTAACTTGTTATCTATTATTTCTCAATAAGATTATCATTTAGTCTGGGTGACGCATTCTTCTGGTGCCCTATTGCACTAGAATTTATGTTCCTTAAAGAAAATAAACAATACACTCATTATCGAAAATTTGTAACTCAGTCACTACAATAAACACTTCAACACAGAGAGTTAAGGCCGCGATCCCAGATCGGTTATTGTCTTGTTCAGTTCCTATAAAAACCTATTTCTTTATGCACTGAACAAGTTTTTCAGTACAGGTTTGTACATATTTATCATAGTATCTGAAAGACATGAATAAATTACATGAAAAAAAGTTCCACAGAAGGCTACATACATTTGACATTTAAGTGTATTTTCAAATTACTTGAAATCTTTAACAAAAGAGACGAATATAAAAAATTCAACCCATCTAAATAGGGTTGTTTTTCCAACTAACCTCAACTGAAGGTAACAGTGAGCACGATTTCCCACATTGAAATAATCACATGTAGTGAGGATTTCAATTCCATGTGGAAACTGACCCTATTTGTATATAATAATATATGTATAAACGTGTATGTAAATAATAATGGTAATAATAATTAATAATAGGAACAAATCCGAACATAACTGAGGTATCTGTTGATTAGTAAATATCAATATAACTTATATAACGTGTATATGGACCAGGTGAATGATCATATCAACATTCGTTTGGAATCGATGGTAGAAATTTTTTTATTAAGAAGGTGATGCTCATGAAGGCTTACCATTAGGTACAGAGCTTTTTCTATCTACTGCAACACAAGTGAAAATAATTAGTCAGCGAAATATTAAATATATCGAACTGAATCAGTGTCGTCCAAGAACTTGAAATCAGTAAATGATATATTTTATTTCGCTCTTGGAACTTAGATCATGTATTAAACATCTACATCAACCACAAACAGTGTAGAATCTAGCACGAACGTGCATCGACCCAAATTCCCATAGTGTACATAAGTACAACCAAAATATAGTAAACAAGACAAAAAGAATGTCAAGATAATTGAAACTCTAACATGAGAAATATACATGGAGAAAATGAAGGAAATCGTGAAATGACGTCAAAGAGTAAGATTTACGAAAAAAATGAATACACTGGTGTCAATGGAACCAATTATCAACAATAGATTACAACTGTGATAGTACCTGATTGGACACACGGAAGTACATAAGAATGTGTTCAGATCTGAAATTTATTGATTGAAAGTCGAATCTTTAAACCAATAAATAATACATCCTCGGGTCTATTTCTAACGTCAACTGAAATCTTCAGCTGCTTCGTAAATACATTATTCCCTGAGGCCGAGGATATAGGATGACGTATAATTATATGTGAAACTTAGTATTCAATGAATAAGAGTAAATAGGAGAACCCAAGTACCAAAGACATTCCATCTTGCAAACAGTAGGATTTTTATACCAACGTTTCGTGAGAAGTCAACGAGAACAAATTCTGATTTAGTAGCGTCTTCGTGGTCGTCTTGAATTGAAAACTGGTTATTATCATTGCTGCACACCTATCAATAAGCATGACAATTTAACTAATTTATTCAACGTAAATGGTGAAGTTTAACAGGACCTTGAATCTTTTGCGTTTGCACTGTCTGATTTTCTTTACACATTTTACTTGTTAATTTACGAACAAGCAAAAATTCAAACTTAAGGTTACGTTACGCATAACAGGTGACTGCGTGAATTAATATTAATGACTGTGATGACCAGGTGTAGATTTGTATACTCAGTTTTGAGACATAATTTACATACTAGGGTTTCATGAAACGAATCGATTGTTCAAACCGAAGTAGGTGGGCTGGGACTCTAAACTACGATCTAGCGACTAAAATTCAGTCCCTCTAACCACCAAGCTACTAGCGAACATATTGGCAGACAGACCAGTGAAATTGTGGCTTAGAGCTTTTAACACGATTTTCAACAAATGGGCAGTTGATGTCAATCCAACTTCGCCTTCCTAGATTTAACCAGCTGATAGTGGGTAGCATATTAACTTCAGGTTTTCTTCATGAGATAAAAAACAACGTATGGTTTAAATTAATTCGTCCATATCATACATACGATAATTAACTGAGCTCTAAATGGCTCAAATGTTCGTGTTGTGTTGATATTACCACTGTTTTTGACAAAAGTAAGCGGGAAATAATCCGCAGACCACAACGTTGATAGTAATCATACACATTAATTCTGCGATATGACATAATGATATCAAAGCCTAACGAAATACTTCCAACACTACTTCACGTGTTAATTAATAAAAACGGTATGATTAGCTGATTCAAAAATAAAAATTGTGGAACTAACTTGTCTACCCACGTTCTCTTGAAATGCAGCAGACGCTGCTCGACGTACACTAACCTCTCGATCAAATAGGCTAACTAAGACTAGAGAGCTTGCAATAGGAACGACATAATCCACTAAATCCTTAGGATGATATGCCCTTGCGAACGCCCAACACACATAACAACCAGCATCTCGAACGTTTGATCCATAATTATGATCACCAGACCGCTCATCATAAAACAGAGCTCGTAAAACTACTGGAATCACCTAGAAATGAAAAGCCTATTATTTAACCAATATGTAATCAGAGGATAGTCAAAATAGTTAAGATGAAATTCGCAAATAATAAGTCTGTTTTAATTCAATATATGAATGTGATACTGCATCTACATTGAATTTTCACACATAAATCATTTCAGTAAGTAGATTTATTGGTCATTAATTACTCACTAACATTTCCTAGAATTATACTTGGTACCATTATCTGGGCAGTATATATATAGTTCATACAGTAAATTGAAGTAACCTTTAGTCTAATTAGATGCCTTATTACAGAGGTATGGAAGTAACACCACCTGTTCTTCTTCCAAAGGGTATATCTACTCATTGTTTTACAATTTACTGGACCAGTACAGATAAGAAGATAGACTTTTATGGCATATGTCGATGGAATAGAATTTTCTCTACTTCAGATTTTGATTCATGCTTCTACGTTACTGGACAGTTTACCAAGTTCTTGGACTAATCAACAGAAACCATTTAAACACTTTTTCATTGTAATTCTAAGGTGCTTGAAAATGTGAACAAACTAATAGTTTTTGTGAAATATTAATTTTTCAGTAATCGGTTGTGTTGCGTTTTAATATTCCGTGGTTGTGAAATATAAGGTTTTCAGGGTACGAGTAATATTTGTTGTCGATTCGCACACTAACAATAAAAATACGTCCCTATCATTGAATTAATCCGCTGTCAAAACAAAAGATTTACTTCTGGTAATTTAGATGGTAAAAGAAGACTGCGACGGCTAAGTTCAGCCAAAGCAAGACAAGCTCCATGCCATGCAGTATATGGTTCGAGTTTTGTACACAAGGACAGTACAGCCGACAGAACATCATTTACCATTGAACTGGAAAGGCGAGAACAAATACGTCCGATCCTAAGAAAAAAAAGCACATCGATAGTACAAAATTTATGGAAGGCAATTCAGTAAAGATAATTTACTGGGATGAAACGAAAGTCAGATATCGTTACTTTGGCATTTAGTATAAAAATAGCTAATGCTTATAAGTGACGAACATTTAGTGATATGATAAAACACTTAATCTTATTCGAAAAACAATGCGACACTAACATCTACCTAAAATACAGTTTACTATAGTCTATGAAACTAGGCTTCATAGTTTATCAACGTCATTATATTAGGATACTTAGTTAAACTTAATCGCTCCATGTTGAAGGTACTGGAATTCTGACTATTAAGCTCTTGATTTAAACCAAGTTTCATCTATCTTGATCTAAGCAGCTGAGTAACACCACCAGGCCATGCATGTCGTGTGTGATATCAAGCTTACATGAACTCAGCTGTATTTGAGAACTGTATTTATTGTCAGAGTTCAGTAACACTGGGAAGAGTTTAAGGGTAGAGTACTTTTAAATGTCTCATAATACACATGTATGATGGTTTCTGATCACTGACTTATCTTTTTTTCACTTACACTCTCTTGCCTTACTTTGTTTACCACCACCTTGTAATAAATTGGTTGTGGAAAATCTGTTATACATAGAGAAATTAAACATTTCTAATATTATGGAAAGTGTGCTCTTGCATAAACCACCAGTAGTAGATGGTATATTTCTGTTATAACAATACAAGTGTTGAGAAACATAGTGGGACATTTCATTTTAAACTACTAAGTTAAAAGTAAACAGGACGACGAACTCATATAAGTATACTGTAAAAATAAATGTTTCCTACCCTTTGGCAGCAGACCAACGAACCCCAGTAAACTGACTACGCAAAGCGCTTATTAGTTTATCAATAACTTCTGCAACTTCGTCTGTGTTGGATAATTCATAGTTCATAGTTAATGAACAATCCCCAGAAATATCACTTGAGATATTATTTTGAAAGCCTGCAGAGATTGAAGAATTTTTGTTGTCATGATTCATCAAAAGAGATTCTAAGTTATCTTGCAGTGATCGACATCCTCGTTGGTACTGCCAAGTTGTATTTATTGGTGGGCAAAATAACAAGCCAATTCGTTGTAAAACTTTCGTTTCAAGACGACATAGAAGAATCCCCTTAGAAGAATCTCCAGGCAACTGTAGTACTGCACACAAAAGATCACTAGCATAAGGTAACAATTCAGTGCGGCTTCCGAGTTTACATATATTAGCTATACTTCTGAGGGTGCCGCATACCCGCTTTTCGTCTTGTACGTTGATAACTATGATTAATATTTTTAAAAACTACTAGTTCAGTAAACGATATTTAAAGGTCGAATATAGTTGACAAAAAGATTAAAAAAGTAGATAAATAGAATATATTTTAAATACTTGATTCGATTATTAAATGAAATCAGTAATCGCATGAATCAGGAAAAAATTCAAACGAATATATCGTGAGTCGATATTATGTATATATAAGCTGAAACAAAGTAAGATGGTTGATAGATAATTTTCGTGAAATTTTACATTAATATTCCCCAAATAAGTTTATTTATTTATTTATTTTAACACATAGATATTGTGAAAATTCCCATTTGGACATTTGATAAATACAGAAGGAACGAATTGAGCGAAGAAATTTCTTTTCAATTAGTTGACATAGATATTGGTACAAGGAGGTACCAAATACATATGCGCCACAAAAATCTCATTGGATATGTGTGAGGGCTGTGATACTGCCCGGGTGCCCAAACCGAAGCAGGTGGTTTTCTTAGGGGACCACACCCGGAGCCTTCGACCTGAACGTCTGATCCACAAGGCAGTGGAGCATCGTAAGGAGATGCAGTCTCATGGTAGCCGGTGACCAACGATTGGTTCATACGCCATTCCCCAAATAAGGCTTCCTATTCTCTCCAACATAAGTAGAGCCTGGTAAAAACTGCACTAAAATTACCAAACTTCACATTGGTAAAGTGACTACGTTTCGAAATAATAGTAATTTTAATCATAGCACACACTAAAAACATAGGGGCTAATCATGGTTTTGCTTGTATTCATAGATTAGATAAGAGATGCTTGATCCTAGGGGCCACTCCAAAGTCAAGTAGATGTGATGTTCCTTATTTGTTTGTTAATTTAAAGACCTTAGAGATAACCACTTCATAACTCTAACCAGGCCCCCAGTTTATTTATTTATTTATTTATTTGAACACATAAATATTGGTACAGGGGGGCACCAAATATATATGCGCCACACAAATAAAAAGAATATTTCATCATGTTTTGGTGTGTGGGCTGAGATACTGCCCGGGTGCCCAAACCGAAGCAGGTGGTTTTCTTAGGGGGCCACACCCCGAGCCTTTGACCTAAAGGTCTAGTCCAAAAGGCAGTGGAGCATCGTGAGGAGATGCAGTCCCATGGAAGCCGGTGACCAAAAGTTGGTTCATACGCCATTTGTTCCTTCAGGATACTGGAGCCCATGTGCACCATAGAATTGGGATCCGGTTATAGCGCCCCCCAGAGGACGCACTCTACTTCTCAAGGACAGACGTTTTACGTTTAGCTAACCATTAAGCTCAAATCCACCTGTAAATATCACTCTAAAGTCTTAATCTTTTGCGTACTGTCTCGTTTTAAAATTTTTGTGATCGAAGTATACTAATCAATTATTTCTAATCACATAATTCGTTGTAAATTTAAATTTTGTAGTGAATGAGAGGCCCTAAAATAAAATAACCTTATTCTCAAAGTCTTACTAGTTCGCTTTGTTTGTAGTGACAGTTTGTAACTCACATTTGTTGGAAGAAATAACAATGTCAGCAGATAACATTCACTAAACTTTCAGGAGCTCGTTTCCCACGGGGCAGTGGCTTGTTTGTGAAGGCTTTCAACTTCCAGTCACTAGATTCTACATTTAAAGTGCGGCTCATACCTAAGTCTCAAGTAAAGAAGTGAATTGTTTTACTTTATTTATAATTATAAAAATATGTACGGATATTTCCCACAGGATTCAGTCTTTCAGGTTTGTCCTATAAAAAAATTAACGGAGACTATATGTACTTTTTGTAACAATGTAATTTACTGGGTTTTAACCTTGATGCAATTATAAACACCTAGTCAGTATATGTCATTCTCAGACTACAAACCTTAACTAAATTCGATAACTAGGTCACAAATATGTAGAATATTCTGTCTTATCGCCTAACCCTCTTATAGAAAGTGAAAAACCTTCACTGCATATTTCGATAACGATGTCTAGTTTTAGTTGGTACATTAAGTAATCGTGTGAAGAAATCCATTAGTACATAGCCGAAACCAATATCTCTGGACTAAAAACAGTCCGTTTTTAAATCTATGACAAGCCATACTTATCACAAACTTTAATGGCGTCTTACACTGACAGTTAACATATTTCTAATTATAGAGTTTGAAAAGAATTCGTGCACAATATATGTTTCAATGATCAAATTTAGTTTTAAAAAAAGCCGTAATGATACAAACATACAGGGACATGAAAGAAATACAAACATAATAACAGATTAACATGTTTCTGTCAATCTATACCACTGTTTAACAAAAATCAAAGGACTTCAGACTCACCACCAGAAAAGCTTAGATTTTTAATTGCAAACGAAATTATTGATGGCAGCTGGGTATGAAGTGCATCTGGCCGGGTAACAGTATGCGCAAGAAGGAAAGAGGCTGCTTCTTGAGTACGCTCATCCTGAAAAAGGTAGAGCTTAGCTACATCAATTACACGCTCAATTATAGGTTTCTTTCCAAAACTGTCAAGATTTTCTAAGTTGAAAGGGACCATTACCAAGATTGATAACCAAAGGATAAGGACATAGCGCGTCTCCCAGTTCTAGAGATGGATTTAGGTAATGGAAACATATGACTAGTACCTTTGAATCATTCATATCTTGCTCCATGAGAAGACTCAAAGTTGGTTCAAAATCATCAACCGTATGTGGCATCAAACGGATAATGGCCTTGTAACCTCGGGTTTTTGTCATTAGATATAAGATCCTGAACGCGAAGTGGAAAACTTCAGGATCTGAGCGACAACACTGCACAACATCCAGGCAAGCTGATATCATTTTTCCAAGATAAGGATCAAGCAGATGTGGCTGCTCCTGGTAATAGTTGAATATTTCTACCTATCAACCAAGGAAATGTAAAATACGTACGGACAAGTGTATCCTCCAAATTCTCTTTCTTGTGAAAATCTGACAGTTCCAACTTTATGTCTGATATCAACTTCATAACCTGATCATAATGTCTGAACTCAGTAAAGACAAAGCATTCCTTCACTTCAGACACATTATCAACAGTAGCGCACATGTTTGTAATGTATACACACAATTAGCCACCAGGAAGTTGGTATTAAAACCTATGTGTCTTTGTAGATGTTTATCCCAGAAAGCAGAAGAAATAAGCGTATTTGATCACTTATCTATTTTTGTCCGGGGATAATGATCAGGACTCTATGTTTTGTCACGTCATTAAGGGAATGATCTGGCCTAGTTGATTTTGTAGTCTAGCCGAATTCGTAAATTTTTATTTACCACTCCATGTATCAATTTTACCAGCCTTTATGGCCATACAATCCAAATTTTTGAATGGCGAGCTGTTTCGCACCTACCATTAGTAATTTGGATAGCTGTTCTAATAATATATGAATAATTCATACGCTAATATGCTTTACGTCTGTGACGAGATTGCGTGAAATAAATGATATTTTCGCACCTGTGTCTTAGTGCTGTGACGAAATTTCAGGTATTCCTCAGTGTCTAACATTTATTTGAAGTTTGAATATAATATTTCAGTGAATGTTTTTGTCTCAGTACAATGAAGATGGTAGAATTCTCAACTGTCAAGTTTTTAGCCTGGGGACTGGTTAGTTGTAGCACGAAATTCTGTGGTGTTTATATGAACTAATCATTCCTTTGTACTTCGGGACTGTCTGATTTCGTATTCCAAATACAGTACGTTCGTTCGTGCTCATCTAATGCTTCGAGGCGTCACATTCTGTATTTATTAAGTGGGCAAACAAAATTTTCATCTTTCAGATTTCTCGTCGTCAGATTAATTATAGTGTATCCGCTTAATACTCAAAAACAGTCATTGCTTGAGTTCCACGCTGCAAACGCGACCTCACAAATGTCGAAAATAATTCCCTTAAAGTTTTTTCGTTCACGTAATGAACTGACTTACCGACAGTCCATAAGGCTCCAAGTCTTTATCAGTGGCAGCCTTAAGTTTACTTGTACTTGTAAGGACATTGCTTATTATAACTCTTCGATCACTTGTCTGTTACTTCAGGCAACACAGTTTCATCTGACGTGTAGTGGTGCTAATTTAATCTATCAAAATATTATTGTCTTTTGCTGTAGCCCAACCTTCTCTTTCAATGGAGAGATTCACCAATCATGTATGGCCTCTCCGCAAATCATCCTGTTCACTGGCTAAAAGATTACTCCTCTCCGCAACGACAACTGAATAATATCTTCAATTAGTTTGAGACTACATTGGTAAGACCAACGGGACGATCGTTAATAGCTAAGTATCTACCTCCTTAATAAAACAGACTTATAATTGACTCTTTCTAGTATCTTGCAGTTTAAACTGCACCAAAAATAAATGAAATAGTTTTCTCAAAGGTTCATAATCCTAAAATGAATATTATGAGTACCATTAGTCTTTTCTAGTTTGAGTTGTTAAGTTGTCGAAGGACAGATCCTTTCTTAATAACCACGGGATCCATTGATAAGCTGTCTTTATAATATTTACTGACTTTTCACTATCATCGGTAGAATCTCCTAATAACAGGCATCTATTAAATTTATGTCATTGCTAAATATACTCCAAAGTAAAGCTATCAATTAAGTGGATAACATTGAGTATAACTGCAACAATCAATAAATTTCACAGATAGTGTCTTCATAAGTTCCACCATCATGAGATTCACAAACATAGGAAAGGATGTTCATCTATATCTGTCATTCATTAGGCAGTTGACTCTTGATAATTGTGGAAAGACGCCAAAGTTATTGACTGGTGATGTTTCTGCCACAGCTATGATGAGTGGTTTTAGTTCGTCTACTAATATACCTAGTTCATGGAATTTGATTTTTAAACTGCGAGAATTCGCACATAATCTCCTAAACAGTACAGTCAGTTCACACAGGCCTTAATAGCAAATACTTTCAAGAATGTCCGCTTGAAAAACCGTCTTCGAAAAGACTAATTTATGAACGAGCCAATAAGAAGCGTTTTAAGGACTTCAAGATTACGGCGCCAACTTCAGTGCTTAATGTTGAAGTACGATCGTTTCACAAGGAATTTTGTACAAAACGTGATAATTGAGTGGTTATAACAAATAAAACGGTGAGACTACAATTTGTGGAAGAATCAACCAGGTATAAGACAACAGATCTTAGATTTTAACGCGAAAGCCTTTCACCGATTCTGGTAAACAAATTTTTAGAACTATAGTTGATGAAAACCTCATATATAATTCCTAACCAAGGCAAATGATGAAAATTTTCGCGAACTGGATAATAAAAGCACCAGTAACACTGGCTGCAGTCAGGTACTATAACATATACGGATGATTGGAGAGCGTACAGACTCCTACATAGACTTGGTTATGTGAATGGCTACGTTATCTACAAGTAGCATTTTGTGCACTCGACAACTGAAGTGCATATTAACAACATTGAAGCTATGTGGTCGAGTCTCAAAGAGTTTCTGAGACTTTATCATGGCTCCAGAGGCCGACTATTCTGTAGCCGTATGGATGATTTCCTCTACTGCATGCATTACGATTTTAGAACCTTTGAACATCATTCTAAACTTGGCGAGTTTCTGAACCACTTTTAGGAAGTGTATCCACTATATTTTCTTGTTTTTGTATAATGTATTTTTACTCTATGCTGTTTGCTGATTGGCTAATATTTCCCAGGGTCACTTAAGGTTCGTTCAGAGGTCGTCCATAAATTAAGGTCTCATCCCCGTTTTCTTTACAATATTGCCAACAGATTCCTAGTTCACCTGGTCCCGTCTTTTTTTGCTCTACCTTCTAGAGATACATCAGGTCTTGCTTGAATGTCGGTGTTAGCTTGGATTCAAATACTACATCAAGAAAGATTTTGCTGGGGAAACTGTAGAATTATAGTCTATTATGATATTAGCACTGCTCTAATAATAGACCTTATCCTAAAATTGTAGATTTGTTATGATTTAACTGCCTAATCTATAAGATCTTACGTGGAAATCACATCATCATCTACAGCAACTCACTGCATCGTAACAATTACTAGTACATGATGGAGAACAAGCTTAGGCTAGAGATAGAATATATTTAATATGAATAAAAGATATGAGGTAAGATTCAGGAGGGCCACGCCTGCATGGTCGAGCCATGCCATCAGATTAACTCGAATTAATTCAATTCATTGTTCCCGCCTTCTCCATTGTTAGGTATTTCCCAGCGTTAAAATGTTGAATGTCTATTTTTCGTATTGTTTCGTGTTAGGGCCAAATGCCACTACACTACTCTCCCACTAGAATCAACGTGACATTGGTTCGATACCGATTTGAGTGGGATTATCGCGCGCCGGGGGTTAACAAGATTTTGAGATATTTATTGAATGAGCAACTGATAGAGAAACATACTGAAAATCATCTGCAATGGATGAAGATACCGAGAAAACAACACTATTTAATGATAATTACAAGTCAGTTTGTTGACTGATTTCGTTAGTTTCCAATTTTACCAGTCATATTACGTGATTGTAAAGTCATGACAATGCTTTATGACGATATCCTGAAACCATTATTTATAACCAGTTATAGTGTTAATTGAGAAGTAGCTAGTTGTAAATAGGTATTGTTGTTTTATGTGCTTCTGAAATAGCAGAAGTTTGTCGCGTTAAAGAATCCGAGATGCCTAATTATATTATAAATCGCAACTTGAAAACATTTGTTTACAGTGTTAATTTTAGTAGTAGGCTCAGAAGTTTTAATTCTAAATATTTGTTTGGCCAACAACTACCTGACAGTTTAGTTATTATGCTAGTCCATTATAATAGCACTTAAATTCGGTGACATTATTATCTAAACTATGTCCCTGTTTTTAGGCTACTAATATGACAGACCAATTCATAAACCCAAAAACGTATAGCAATAATGACTACGACGGATTTATTGAAGATGTTACAGGCGACTAAATTTAAAAGACACCGAGAAATAATTCAACGCATGTACGGACCAGGTTAAATGCAGGTTGGTGAGGCGTGACAATCTAAAAATAGTAAACATGTCTGGGAAAAGGTTTAAAGCTAAGAAAACTTATGGAACATTAGGTAGGGGTATCACTCTTTGCACACTTTCAACAAGAAGTTTCTGCATTTAGCCTAGAGACACATGTGACAAAAGCAACTGGAAAATTTACGC